ACACAAACTGACTTGTGGCAAAGGTAACGTCCTCCGACAGGGCCATGCTTAAAGTCACTGAGCTCATCAGTACGACCCTCTACTGCCAGTGTTTCAGTGTGACCCAATTCAGGGGCTGGATCCTTCGAAGGACACGGTCTATGAAGGTGTGTCCTTCAAAGGCTGCTTAGACCCACGAAGGCTGCACCGAAATGAGACGGTCTGCCCTACGACAGATTTTCTGTTTGGATCACAGCACCGCTGTTCCCGTCCTTACCGCTGCATCACAAAACGCCACTCCTGTCAAGTTCTTTTAAGGTTCTTTAAAGATGGCGCCAGAAACTTTGATTTTAGTTGTTTATTTTTTCATTTATTAGAATTGCAGATGCTTCACCGTTGGCTACTGATGATATTTTTTATATTTTTACGATTGTGCAGCCGTTCGCCTCGGTTTAAACCCAATACTTGTATTTAAAAGTGTCTCCTCAGCCTCCGTTTGCTTCTCTGTTGATGCCGCCATGCTCTCGAACCCTCGCCAGCACACAGTGAACCTCGGGATATGTTGGCTGGCGAAGGACGCACCCGATGGATCCTTCGTTGCCATGGAAAAGGACACATTTCTCAGCCGCATATGAAGGAGCCTTCGCATTGGGACAGCCTAGTCACGCCGCTGTGGCGCAATCGGCCTTCAAACGCAGCCGCAGAATTGGGACACACTGTTTGTCTATCGAGACTGCAAGGTGCTTAATTTGACCCACCTGTCTGAAATGAATGTGGCTGAAACACCTGAACTTATGGAGTGTCCACATACTTTTAGCCATACAGCGTTTGTTTATGTTGACTAGAATTCATATCACCCTACTCTACACTACTGAGAGGAATCGTATAACAGTATCGAAGCAGCGTCTCTCAATATCGAATCGAACCGAACTGTATCGTTCATTCCTACAGAAATGCCCTCAGCGGTTCCATATGGTTTTAAACGGCCCATAAAACTCACCTCCGACTTCTTCGGTTCCTTCCAGCAGGATGTCTTTGGTGAAATTGGAGATCTGGCCGGTGAAGGAGGACAGGCTTCCTCCAACCTGACCGAGGGACTGACCGAGCCCGGAGCTCAAACCGCCCAGCCAGGACATTTCACTCTCTCAGACACCCGGTAACCGGGAACAGGCGGGGCTGAAACGGCGGCGGGCTGGTTATTAAACTCCTGCTCCTCCGCAGAGACACTCCAGCCCGACAGACATGGGAGATATTAATCCAGGTTTAGCGGATCTTCATCAGCAGCCGTTCAACAAACGCTGTTCGCGGAAAAGCGGAGCCACCGCTGCCGAACGGAACACAAAAAACGACCCAGAAACCCAAAATAAAGCTTTCAAACCGCAAATATGACGAACTAAACCGTCTGTTTGGAGTCAGATTAACCGCACAACACCCACAGGAATGAAGACAACAGTCCAGAAACGATCCAAATCGCCTTTGTTTTGGTCCGTCTTCTCCGCACCTGCCAGCTCGACCGCGGCCATCACCGGACTGCAGCGTCACAGGGGGACGTGGACGGGGCAAAGGATTATGGGACACCGGCGGATCGAAAGCCCAAGATAGTGTGCGGAGACCGAGATCGCCCACTGACTCCCTGAATGCTTTTAGCTAGACAAGGAGATTTTTGAACGAGTTAAAACTATTAATTTGTTAAAATTTACGACGGGTTTTATAAAATTATAAGTGTTTATTAGTAGAGAATAAGAAAGACAGAGAAAGAGAGAGAGAGAGAGAGAGACAGAGTTTTAAATGAAGTAAGTTAATTACCAAGAGAGAGAGAGACACACAGAAAGACAGACGGGTGGCTTGGGTGTGCTTGACTGAAGAAACATGACTGCCAAACGCCAGAGGGCGCCCGCGAGCGAGTCCTCAATGAATGGGGGTGGATGGAGCTAAAAACGAAAAATGTAAAATTTAAAAAGCCTTTTAACACTTGTCCAAAACCTTCCTTTAAAACTGGAAAGCAGAGGGATGTATTTCACTAAAAGACCCAAGAAAATTTACCTGTATGTTTCCTTTTTTCTACAGCAAGCAGGTTTTAATTACTGCTACTGAGTGCTGATTGGTTAGCATTACAGCTACTGAGTGTTTATTGGTTAGCATTACAGCTACCGAGTGCTGGTTGGTTAGCATTACTACTACTGAGTGCTGATTGGTTAGCATTACAGCTACCGAGTGCTGATTGGTTAGCATTACTACTACTGAATGCTTATGGGTTAGCATTACTGCTACTGAGTGTTTATTGGTTAGCATTACTGCTACTGAGTGTTTATTGGTTAGCATTGCAGCTACTGAGTGTTTATTAGTTAGCATTACAGCTACTGAGTGCTGATTGGTTAGCATTACTGCTACTGAATGCTTAATGTCAGCATTACTGCTACTGAGTGCTGATTGGTTAGCATTACTGCTACTGAATGCTTATTGGTTAGCATTACTGCTACTGAGTGTTTATTGGTTAGCATTACTGCTACTGAGTGTTTATTGGTTAGCATTGCAGCTACTGAGTGTTTATTAGTTAGCATTACAGCTACTGAGTGCTGATTGGTTAGCATTACTGCTACTGAATGCTTAAGGTCAGCATTACTACTACTGAGTGTTTATTGGTTAGCATTACTGCTACTGAATGCTTATTGGTTAGCATTACTACTATTGAGTGTTTATTGGTTAGCCTTACTGCTACTGAATGCTTATTGGTTAGCATTACTGCTACTGAGTGTTTATTGGTTAGCATTGCAGCTACTGAGTGCTTATTGGTTAGCATTACTGCGGCTGAGTACTGATTGTTTAGCATTACAGCTACTGAGTGCTAATTGGTTAGCATTACAGCTACTGAGTGCTAATTGGTTAGCATTACTACTACTGAGTGCTGATTGGTTAGCATTACAGCTACTGAGTGCTAATTGGTTAGCATTACTACTACTGAGTGCTGATTGGTAAGCATTACAGGTACTGAGTGCTAATTGGTTAGCATTACAGCTACTGATGTGCGCCCCCTTGTGGGAAAAATTCACACAGCTGAACGTGTGGATAAGAGTTCCAAGCCCTCTTGATATCTTACTAAAACAGGTGGCTTCCATCATCATAGCAAAGGCACTCTGGAATTCAGCTGTAGATGCCTGGAGGAAACCATGCAATCCTGCATTTTCATAGTTTTACAACTCATATGAGCCGTCAGGACACTGACACTGACTGGTGTGTTGCACTCTGGGAGGCCTGCAGCTCAGACAGTGGAGAATCCTAGAACTCTTACTGCAACACTGCATGATGACATTCAAACCTTCTTAAAGAAGCTTAAATGTTTTACTGTATTTGTGTCTTGATTTTAGACATAAGCAAGAGGAGACCAAGAGAAGATTTTGGTTCACTCACATAATTTCTTATTTCAGTATTTAAAAAAAAACGTAATTAAATATTTGGTTAAATATTTTTCTACGCAATACTGCCACCTAGTGGCGACAGCCCGCCAACGTTCGTCCGCCGATTGCTGTTACTGTGGAGAGGATCAGACAAAGTCTGTAAGAGTTTGAGCTCAGCTTTGCTTTTGTTTCTGGACAAAATACAGGATTAATATGTCCATTAATTTACATAATTAAAACACACGTTTGTTGCCTAAAGACAGTAATATTGTTGATGTCTATTATATTATGATATTAGCACTGCAGACATCAGCAATATTGCTGTCTGTAGGATACGACGGACCAGATTTGGCAAAATTTAAAATAAATAAAAATAAATAAATCTATATATTAATAAATAAAACCTTACATAAATTAATGTCTGCATTTACTTATGTCTATTTAATAATTTCTCCTTCTCATAAATTTTTGTATTTATTTTTCTGTTAATTATATCTTTCTTTATTAACGTTTTTTTCTTTTTCATTTATTTATTTCCATAACTATTCATTTCTATATTTACTTATGTCCCTATTTACTTATTTCTGTATTTCCTTATACATGTATGTCCTTATGCTAATAAAGGGGCTGTCAGTCAATGATGTCACAGCGTCTTAATATTCCTATTGGTTGATCGATATCAGATTCTGCAGATCGATTGTTCACGTCTTGCTCTATCAGCAGTAACTGAGGACAAGACAGTACAGTAACGGCTGTTTACAGACAGTCAGTGATCTGAGAGTCTCGGCTGATCTGGCTGAAAATGCAGGTATGGATTATTGACTCTTTCCTGTGGAGGCTGCGGGGACAGTTTGGTCCATTTAGCTGATCTGCTGATTCAGAGGTCGACCAGTAGTGTTCAGAGCTTTGGAGGAGGTGGCTCATCTGCTTTTTCTGTAAAATTCAGATCACGCAGACATTCGGACGCCCTTCTCACATTCTGCCTGTGGAGCCATCGAGAGTTATTTATCGGCAGGTTTGTCCGTCCGTGCAGCTCTTTATGGTGTGAAAGAACAATTTAATCAGCTCTTCTCCTCCTGGCTTGATTGCTAAGCCTGAACGTGAAAAACACGCCCCCTCATTATCATATGAGATCATAAAAAATACAGAAATAAATAAATGAATTAACGAAATACAGAATAAATAAATAAATTAATTAATCAATAAATAAAGTAAATGATTGTTAAAAATATAGATACGGAAAAAAATCTAAAAATGAGGCCTTAATAAAAATAATACCGAAATAAATTGAAAAATATATAACTGCAGAAAAAGGAAATATGTGTATAATTACAATCAATATAAGCACTATATACTTTATTTAGTTAGTTTTATTTATTGATTAATTTACTGGGCCATTTATTTTTGCCTCTATTCACTTATATGCATTTTTTTCGTCTCTTTGGCGCCCTCTAGCGCCTCTACAACGGATTGCAGGAATCTTTTGCTAACGTGGCCACTGTAATTAAACAGCCTTTTCATGCAGGGTAATAGAGTTTGCAAATTCATGTTTCTTTCAGAGAAACTTGTTTTTTTTTGTTGAGCACTATTCATGACGGACGAAAGGATGAAGCAAACAGGAAAGTCTGGGTTTTGTCACTGTGTTAATGTTTATTAAAATAAATCAGAACGGAGAAATAAGAAATGCGATGTATGGAACTGTAACAAAAATAGCCACCCATGATTAAAACCAAGTGAAATCATTCACCACAGACAGTCTTCATTAAATAAAACCCAAAAGTCTCTCACTTGATGTTTTGACGCTTCACTTTTTCCCCCACAGATCAGGAAAAAGGCAGACAGAGGGAAGGAGGAAAAATAAAATGGAATATTGAAGGAGAGGGGGAGAGACAGAGAGAGAGAGAGAGAGAGAGAGAGAGAGAGAGAAGAGAGAGAGAGAGAGAGAATCATAAAACTTCCCCACAGAACACCTGTGCAAATGGCCCGTACCAGTTCAGACAGATTGCACACATGAGCCACCGTCCAGCTGCTGACAGCTTGTATAGATTCATAGATTTCTTTTCCTTCTGTACATGTAGAGCATTCGATACATATTCAATATACATATTAAATTCATATTCTTCTATCTGCCTTCAGGATGCGATCCTTGTGGATGCATCTCCGGTGTGTACGTCAACAGAACGATCATAACCCAGAGGTGCAGCAGTGCCTACAAACACACAACATAGAAAAGCAATCACAGACACATTATTCCCATTTTCATTTTCACATATACTGGTTTACAGATACATTTACCAGAAAATAATCTATAAATATTTTCAAGTACACTTGCGTTCAAAAGTTTAGTTATAATTTTCCTTATTTTATATACAATAACAATTTATACATACAACTAGGTATATAAATATTGATGTTTTATTCAATTTTTCTAGAATTATATGATTAAAAATTTATTTAATGGCAAATAATTTACTGTAATTCTCTTTTTTGAGAGTTTGATGTAAACACTCAGCTGCAAAACCAGCCCATTCCGAATTTACCATTTCTGTGATGTCACAGAAAACAACATATATAAACAACATATATCCACCTACTCAGCCTACAGCAGTTTAGCCCCGCCCACTCGCACTGAGGTTATAAGTTATAAGGAGTGTTTTTGAATGAGGCACAGTGCAGGGCAGCCAATCAGAACAGAGCTCTTTGACATCTATCGGCCTTAAAGGCACAATAACAAAACAGCCTGTTCGATTCTAGGGGATGAAGAGAGGATGGAAAATGGTCAGGTAAAAATGATGAATTATGTTTTTTGGTGAATAAAACCACACAGGCATCATAAGTGGAACACAAGGAAAAAGGTAATCTATATACACACACACACACACACACACACACACACACACACACACACACACACACACACACACACACGTATGCATTCAAATGAACTTCATCAAGTTATCTGCCTTGAGATTTGATCTCCACTTTTGAAATATGAAGAATTCTAGATATTCAGTTTATTATAACTCATTTCTTAATGCTATACAGCTTTTCTCAGATTTTAGAGTATTCTACAGCTCTCTGGACGCATCTAACATTTCTTCATTTTCATTTACAGCTTTCTAGTGTCCTTCTGATTATTTGAAACATGTTAGGTTGTGCAGGCTTCACATAGAAACATTTCATATATTTATCTGCAACCAAAGTTGTTTTATATTACTGAAAACATTCATTTGAAGTCCACTCACCATATAAACGATTACAAAGACTCTGGCAGCGGGGTACCGTCTGAGAAAGATCCCTAACCGGATACTGGAGGCAAAGACAAACACATGATCCAAATAGATCAGCCAAATAATTTAAAATATAACATGGAAAAAAGCAGTGCGGTGATGTTCAGCTGAAGAAGCTGCCAAAACTCAGATCACTCAGTCAATAACATACTAAAAACTACATGTGGTTCCATGTGGTTACGTCCAGTAAGAAAATGATGAACTTCCTAAAATTTGTATGCATTTTTATGACATATGATGGTTAAAAGTCTCACCTGAAGCGATCTATGGTGCTGGCTGCTTTGCGCACTTTCCCGTACACTCCCGTCGCCGAGCTGTCCTGATCACTGAACAGAACCGGGGTGCTTCTCTGCCTCGCACCTTTTCACAATACGCCAGAATTAAAGAGTCAGTCAAAAACATCTCTAGTAGGGATTATTTTAATACACAGATATCCAAACTCGTAAACATTTCATTCACTTAATCAGGTATTCAAATAAGGCTTGCGCAATCTGGGACAATAAATAAATAAATAAATAAATAAAAAGCAAGAAATTATGTTTTAACTCCTAATTTTTTGGGGGCATTTTTCCTCAATTTTCTCCCCACTTCAGACGTATCCAATTACACCCAGTTAGGACTAGTTAGGACTCCCCCAGTCACAAGATACCACCAGCGCTCGGAGGGTGAAGGCTAACACAGGCTTCCTCCGAGACCTGTGAAACGCCACCACATGTATTCGAACTGCCGCTAACGCAATGTCATTGCACCACCGAATGCGCTTGGAGGAGAGCGCCAACTGACAGTTAACAGATCTGTTATGTCAGCTCGTTGAGTGATGGAGGGAGACAGTGGGGGCATCCTCCCCACTCAGAGAGAGAGAGAGCAATGGTGCTCTCCTGGACTCCCGGCAGCAGACTGGACTCTCTATCTCCTGATGACAGGGCCTATACTTAGACAGTTGTGCAACTCGGGAGCAAGTTCTAATTTTTAAAGATGATTTTGACTGGAGGTATGTCTAACACTGCAGAACGGCCAAGCAGCTCACATCATTTATCAACATTATTTATCAAAGCTGTGTAAAAAACAGCAAAGATTTGACTGCCTTTAATGATGTACAAATGTAATGATGTACTCTCACTCTACATCTATTTTGTGCAGATTTGACCACAAATGATGAATCAGCTTCAGTTCGTAAAATCAAGCGCCTGCATACCAGCCCCTCATTTACATATCATTTACATATAATTCATAATTCATGCAGATGTCTCATAGAGACCCAATAAAACTACAGCATTCACTAAAACGTGAGCCAAGGGCTGAGAGTTTAAAATCGAGTAGTGAACACACTGCTCCCCCTACTGACCAAACCTTTCCTAATATAACTCATTTAAACACTTAATTATTGCAGCGTACCTGGTCCCTCCATAGCAGCCATGTTGATGTGCGGGCCACTGTTCTGGCCTCCCTGGACGCTCTTGAGCTGTTGTTCCAGTCGTTCGAGCTGGAAGATGAGCGAGCTTTTCTCAGTGCCCAGAGCCTCCAGCATCGTCTGCTTCTGAATCAGCGTCTCTGTCAGCTGGTGCAGGCGCCCCTCCAGCTCCGCCTGGCTGCTGTTGCTCAGAGCCTTATTGGTCAGCTAGAGAGAGAGAGAACAGATTTAGTTTAGCCATGCAATGAAACCTTCTCCCTTCATTAGGAGTGCCCTTCACAGTTGTGAGTGTAACTTCAGAATGACACTCTGTAATGGCATGTTAGTGGAGAGGAACCGCTTTGGGAAAGGCTGTCTGTGTGTGCACGCATGTATATAAGAGAGATAAGCGTCACCTGGTTCCTGAGCTTCTGGATCTCGTCCTCTCTGTCCTTGATGCGACTCTGCAGTGTGCTTTTAGTACGATGGTGTTCCTCCTCCACATACTGCAGCTCCTGTTACACACAGGTAGATCTCTTCATACTACCTCACATACATTTATAACATTTGCAAAATGAAACATTCAATTAACAAGAAACAAATAAATTTGTGTAAATAATCTCATGGTCACACATTTTCTTTTCTCCTTCATCCTCCTAGCTCTTTACAGTTACTGTCTCTCAAACTCACACTCTCCATACCTGCTTGCAGCGTTCCAGTTCTGCCTGCACCTCTTGTTTGGCTCTGCTCTGTTGAGCAAGTTGTTCCTGCACCTCCTGCTGCTGCTCCCTCCAACTTTCAGCCTCCACCATAGCCTGGCTCTCCAGCTCCTGTAACACAGAGCCCAATAAGTCAGTGCCCTAGGTTCCAGAAAAGCACCAGGCCTGAAAGCACCAAGCCCAAAAGAACCAGGACAGAAGGCAGCAGGCCCAAAAGAACCAGGCCAGAAAGGCAGAAGGCCCGAAAGAACCAGGCCAGAAAGGAAGAAGGCCTGAAAGGACCAGGACAGAAGGCACAAGGCCCAAAAGAACCAGGTCAGAAAAACAGAAGGCCTGAAAGAACCAGGCCAAAAGGCAGAAGGCCAAAAAGAACCAGGTCAGACAGGCAGAAGGCCCAAAAGGACCAGGACAGAAGGCAGAAGGCCCAAAAGAACCAGGTCAGAAAAGCAGAAGGCCTAAAGGAACCAGGCCAGAACGCAGAAGGCCCAAAAGAACCAGGACAGAAAGCTGGAAGGCCCGAAAGAACCAGGACAGAAAGCAGTAAGGCCCGAAAGAACCAGGACAGAAAGCTGGCCTGAAAGAACCAGGCCTGGCTCATCAGACACTGACTGTAAATCTCTATTCTCACAATGATTTTATTTGATTATATTTCTTTTATAAATAATTCTTGAAATCATGAAATCCCAAACACTGCAACATTTCAATTTATTTTGATATAATTTTGTTTTATGTTACACTGAATACACAAATGTGAAAAACTATTTACACAGTGATGAAGTGGACATATAAGGAAGGTAATACACCAAGTTTTTATATATGAAAATGGCCTGAGAATTTAATTTTATAGGCGGTTTGTCTAGCGGACTAAAATAATCATAATTACCTAATTTTTACCACAAAGTTGTTTATAACAGTCCAAAACAGACATAGTCGAATCATCACATCAGGCTGATGCATCATGAGCAATAATATATTTCATGCCCTTATGCAAATATGCGTTTTGCATTCTGAACTGGAAATAGTAACATGCTTATGTGTTTGTGTGCACATCCATAAAATCCAACACGTATTTTACTATCACTATATTCAACAAACTGAGACTTTTATGCATCCGCTCTTTTTATCCCCTCTGTTTTGTGTGATGTGGATGTCTGAGTTTGAAAGTATATCCACCTGTATCTCTAAACGCAAGGTCTGTATCTGAGCCTGTAATTTCTGGATCTCCTCTTTCTGGAGCTCCTTCTCGTGCCGTAACTCCTCCAGTTCCACTCCTGCTGCTCCTCCTCCGTCCAGCACCTCCAAGCCTGAGCTTTCCTTGAGACTGCTGATCAGCTTCTCCTTGGACTGGCAAAAATTAAATAAAATAAAATAAAAAACGTATAGACTTTAATGAATATTTAAAAAGAAGTATTTACACCACAAAGAATAAAATCAACTTCACACAATTTCCTTCTTGCTGCAAACACGGTCATTTTAGAAAAGACCAAAGTTTTCTTCTTTATTTTTACTTATAGAAATCTACAGAACCGAAAAGGCTGTAGGTGACCCAGACTTCCATTATGTGTTAGCTACATTAGCCTTGTAGCTTCAGTGCAAAACTAGAAGAGCAAATTTCAGATGCCAAACCTGTATTAGCTGATAACCTGTCTTTGTGGTAATGGGGAGGTGGTGCAAACCAGTGAACTCAGTGAACTATTCCTCTAAACAAATGTAATTTTTGTGTTTTGCAATTTCTAATTTTCATTTAAACAACATTTAGTCAGGTGTATTTTAAGTTCAGGTGCTAAAATGGCTGATCAGCACCAGGCCCAAAGAACCAGGCACCTCAGAATATAGGCAAGCACATCTAAACATTTCCTGCTGGATGAGCAGCGTTTGATTAATTTTAATGATACGTGGTTTAGGGAAGTTCGCGGCTGAAAGTATGAGTGTACAGACGGGTATGAGGTGTACTGGCAGAGAGCCGAGACCTGCAGGATGCGAGAGGCTTTGTTTTTGTAGTCCTGCAGCTCCTGTTTGGCGTAGTCTGCAGCAGCCCGAGCACTTTTGGCCTGCTGCTGGAGCTCCTCCATTCTCTGCTTCTCCTCCGTCACTCTGCGCTCTGTACTCTTCAGCGACTCTGCTAATGTCTGCCGCTCCGCCTCCATCTTCGCCAGCCGCGCTGCAAACTCGCTCTGACAGAAGCACAAAAACAGGGGTTGAGGCTTCTGTTGCTCATGAGAAACCTGACCAAGCCGCAAGACTTAAACCATTATCCACATTCTCAAAGCATCCCTATATAAATGTGTCAAAACTAAACAAATCTAATTTACAAAATTCCCCCTCGTTACCCCAAATGTAGTAGATCAGCCAAGACATGTTCAAACTTCGCTTCTTTAGTTTCGCTCTGGAGATACGAGTCTAATGTAGGTAACAAGTAACGAGCTACTTATTTCCCACGAATCATTACGCACCTGCCTTAAACTGTGTGGACTTGTTAGGTATTTACAGATAAACTACACTCTTAAAAAGATGGAGCTTCGAGGGTTCTTAGAAAAGAAAATGGTTCTACATAGAACCATGAACACTCAAAGAACCCTTGGCATGATTAAAGGGTTCTTTGCATCGTGAAAGGGTTCTTCGGATGGAAAATGTGCATGAATGTGCTATAGACGGTTCTATATTGAACCTTTCTGAAAAGGGTTCTACACAGCACCCAGAAGCGTTCTTCTACTGCTACAAGCCTGACATCGTAACAAGAGAAGAAACCTTTCACGTGCTATATAGAACCATTTTCAAAAGGGTTCTATATAAGCTTGACATCGAAACAATAAAAGAACCTTTTTGCATGCTATATAGAACCATTGTCTACCATCTAGAGCACGTTTTCAATCAGTCTGAAGAACCCTGTATCAATGCGAAGAACCCTTTAATCATGCAAAGTGTTCTGAGTGTTCATGGTTCTATACAGAACCATTTTCTTTACTAAAAAACTAAAAACTGACTGGAAATCTACCGGCACTGACAAAATTCAGGATGGTAAGGTGGATTTAGCAGTAAAGAAAAAACAACCTAGAGGACAACAAGCATGTCTTGGCTGACTGGCAACACTTAAGGTAAGGGAAAAATGTGAAAACTGATTTTTTTGATTAAATATTAAACTTCCTTGAAAAACAGAACTGACCATAATCACTGTACATGGACCTGAATTCTATCTCTAGGTGTTTCCTCATCTCTGTGCACTTCTGCTCTCTGTATCTGTCCGAGTATTCACCTGCATCTGTCTGTAGCTGTCTTGTTCTCTCTTGAGGGCCACATCAGCCTCTCTAAGCCGGTCCTGTAGCGTCTGCAGAGCCTGAGAGTGCAGGCTGTTGCCCTCGCTGTGATCCTGCAGGATCCTAATGGCCGCAAACAGAAGAGTACCCATTTACAGACACAAACACAAGACAGATAAAAGAAATAAAGCAGCCTGAAAAATAAGAGGCACACTAAATAAACTAAACACATCAGAAACTATTTGGCGCCCCCTTGTGGACAATTTTCAGCCTGCTAAACTTGAGTGAGTGAGTTACAAACTAGTTCCATGATTTCATTAAATGTGAAAGTTAATTAAATAAGTAGCTGGAAAACTGCAATAAGTATTATGGACTTAAGGTAAGACTTTGTTAGATTGCGTTATCAAAAACAACGACACTAGATTCAAACAATTCTTTCCTGCCAGGACCTACCTACTCCTCTCATTCTGGGCCTCTTCCAGAGCACAGCTCCGCGCCTTCAGTAACTGATCTGCCTCGTCCAGTCTGACTTTCAGGATGGCCAGCTGAGCGTCCTTTGCTGACAGGGCCTCTGTGAGGTCATCAACCTGTGCCCGCAGCTCCCTGACGGTGCGATCAGTGCGGGACTGGTCCGTGTTCCATTTTTCAGCACGAGTCCGAGCCTGGTTCAACTCTGCAGGGACGAGAGCAAAGGAAAACGATAGTGCAAGAACTGGACAAACAGACCTGAAGTCTGGCTCATATCTAAAGCTCAACTGTGTAAGTTTTGGGGATTTGGAGACCTCTCTGGTGGAAAGGTGTAATTGCATGCAACGTGAGGAAGAACGTGGGTTGTGATTTGGAGTCCTTTCCCTTTTAAAAACTGTTGAAAAGTACAGTTTGGCTGTCAAAATAAAAATTGTAAACTGTAATATCAACATCAACTTGCCCAGGGATTGTAGATGAAAATTTGTCATTTGGCTAAATGTGGCATATTTACATCATGAATTATTGTGCATCGTCCCTGTTAAATAAACAAGTAAAGAATATTTGTGAAAAAATGAAAAATTGAAAAAGTAAAAAAATAATAATAAAAAAATGTAATTAATTAAGGTTTAAGAAGTGCATATTAGAATCTAGAAAACAGCAAGTATGAACAGTTAGTTTGATGCTTATGCTGATTCAGGAGACATTATACTGCCTTTGAAATTCGGCCTACTACAAAGCAAAGGAAAAAAATATTTTTTACAAATAAAGATATAATTAATTAAGGCTAAATTCATTTTATTTCTAATTTTATCTTTAATTAAATAATGTACCATCTCCATCTGTTCAGAATAAGCTTCTGAATCAGCGCTGCTGTTTAGCATTTAGTTTCCTAAATGGAATAAACTGCAATTACTGTTTTGTTATATATTTAAGTTCTCTTACCCTCCTGTGTGTCCTTTGCTCTCTGGATAAGGGAGGCCATCTCCTGGTTGAGTGAGGACACTTCGTTGCGCAGGAGTTGGTTCTCCAGACGTAGGCTGGACATCACTTGCCCAACCTGCTCCTCCGGGGCTGCAGAGTCTACTGTGGCAGGGGGGTCCAGAGGGGCAGCAACCCCAGAGTCAGAGCTCTCTGGAGTATCTCCTGCAGAGAGAAAAGAAAGGGGAAAAGCAGGGGGAGTGCATTAAAACTACAAAGGCATGGACTCTTAACGTAACAACAGAGCATTCACAGTAGTAAATTAAGAATCACACCACTTCAATATGCTTATAATGCATCAGCAGAATGTAAAGACAAGTCAAATCATATCAAGTCATACATAAGCAAAATGTAAAACTGTACCAAAACCTTCTGGAGAGAGACTGAAGTGTTAGTTCAGTGATAAAAGTGTATCAAACAGCATCAGAAAATACATAAGAATGTACGTTAGAGATTAGTTATAAACTACACTATACACAGTGGCCAGCGTATTATTTTATTATTTACTTATTGATATTATGTGAATGAAGCCCATTGTTAGACTAATAACATACCATAATGAATATTTGTCTTGTCACTGTTGCTTAATTTCCAATTATGAACAGTGAGATAATGAGGTGAAGAACACGGGGTTACCCCACACAGGGGAGAACTGCCAATATGTATTTTATTATTATATTATTATTAAAATGCCTGTTTCGAATGTTGTTTGTCTACTTCACAAATCCAAGCAGTGCTGAAAAAAAGAAAGATTTTGATAGTTGATTATTCATCCGAATTAACTGGCTAATAATCGATCAATCAGCTTAAATGTGGCCTGTAAAAGTGAACAAAAGCTACAACAATAAAATGTTTGGCAATGTCCTTACAAACTCAGTTCTGCTCACCAAGAGCTAAATTACCAGAATGTGACATGTGGCACATTGTTTATGCCCATAATTTTGTGCTACAGTAAGTAATCAGCAGTAACTAAAAATGAGTGATATGATAAGAAGTGTGTAGATTAATGTCACAGCATTACAGGCTAACTAACATTCTAACATGCTGGTTCATTTGCAGAGCCAAGTGTGAACAGGTTTCCAGGAGGAGCGAACAGAATTTTTTTGATGTAAAAACTACTTTTATTCTTCTCTTTAAGGAAAATGCTCCAGAGTTTACCAGTTTATGAGGAGCCTGGCCACTTCCTATTTCCCCCATTATATCAAAAGCAGGACTGCTAAACAGCAGAGGGCGCCCATGAGCGAGTCCTCAATGAATGGGAGTAAATGGAGCTCAACGTCTAAAAACGAAAAGTTAAAATAGTTTCTAATCTTTCGCCCAGAACTTTCCTTTAATTTTAGAAAGTAGAAGGATGTATTTCACTGAAAAAGCAAAGAAAATTACCTGTATGTTTCCTTTTTGCTACAGTAAACGGTTTTTGGGCAGCAGGACGCTAACATTACTGCTACTGAGTGCTGATTGGTTGGCGAGCAGAGCAGCTCAGTGGCTGTTCGCGCTCACAGACATCATGGACCTACATGAGGCGCCGTTTTAAATGTTTTATGCTGTTCTGTGTTCAGGAAATGAATGTATTCTTTTACATTAAAAATATTTAAGCATTTATAAACTATGATTTTATTCAAATGCTCCATCTTAACTCATTAATTTTGGAGTTGCTCGGGAGCGCCCTCTAGCATCTGAGAAACCCGGGAGACATTGCAGAGTGGTAATTCTCCTCTCTACAAGTTCTCAGAGTTTACTTCTCTTTTAACTTTCAGACATAACTCTTTCTTTTTCTCACAGAGGTGCAATAGTACAAGTGAAATGCTGCCCTCTTTAGGTTAAGCCTGAAAGTAATGTCACACAAAATATTTACAAAATATGTAAATGTAAAGATTATATTTTAATGTTGACTTGGCTGTTTCGCAATCTTGTTTTGCTTCACCTAAAAAGGATCAGTGAGAAATAAGCAGTGTGATCTTCCCTGGATAAAACTGCAACATTTCTCCTGGAGGAATAATTTGCAGGCAAAAGAAATTAAATTTTAAAAATGTCTTTTCTTGAAAATCAACCCAGTGACAACCACGTTTGTGTATTCGGTCTCATTTTGGTACCTTGGCTGAAGTCTCGAGCGGAGCCATCCTCGGTCTTGGCGCTGTGTGTGCTGGCGCTGAGCGAGCTGAGGCTGGAGTTTCGAGACAGACCCCGCATGGAGGGAGGGGTGGCCGGGGCCGAGGGAGTCGACTGCGGAGCTGCAGCTACCGATCCAGACGTTACCTGGCCCTGAGCCAGACCTTCAGCCAGACCCACCGCTTTGGACGCTCCGTCTCTCCTGACCTCCCTCCTTTCGCTCTGTGGTGGATCTGAGCTGTTCAGGAAGTCAAACAGGAGATCATCGTCCACCTCTGGCTTCTTGGGCCTGACGAAGCCGGAGGAGGCTCGAACGGCTCCGCTGCCACTGCCGGTGGGGGCGGAGCCCAGATGAGTCACGTTGGACACGTTGGCTGTTCCAGCCAGCACGGTGGCTTTGGATTTCTTAATGTTCCCTGCTGCTGCAGAGATGAAGCCAGGTGTCTCCTGGCTGGAGGATGAACCAGTGTATCCATGTGGGGGTTCATAAGAAGCTGCATAGGCTGCTGAACTCTGCTGAGATGAGTCGACTAGATCCGCCGGGTTGTAGGACGACAGAGAGGATTTTTGGGTTGAATGTTTAGTCAGAGCCGTGGCTGCTCCTTGGTCCACTTTATTCAAGAAGTCCTCCGCTCGGCCAGCCAAATCAGCAAACCAAGACATCCTGAGGGCTGCAAAATAAAAACAATAATGATAATAATAATAATAATAATGATAATCTTTATTTATATGGCACTTTCATGCCAATGGCTCAAAGTGCTTTACAGACAGGTGAAAAAGCTTAACTGTAATACAAGAAATTGTATAATATAAGGAGTTAAAGACACACGTTTTTAAATGTTTCTTAAAAGTGAGCTCTGAGCTTGACTGTCTAATAAAAGGTGGAATTGAATTCCATGGTTTAGAAACATAATAACTGAACGAGTCTCTCCATGTTTTCTTTACTTTACAGAAGGTGTTTGCAGAAGATCAGTATCTGCAGATCTAAGATCACGTGCCGGAACACAAACAGACAGACACTCTGTGATGTGAGCGGTGCTTTAAGGCCATTTAGAGCCTTAAAAACTAGTAACAGAACTTTAAAACCTATCATGAATGATACAGGCAGCCAGTGTAGTTCTTTTAAAACGGGAGTGATATGATCTGCTTTATTTTTGTTATTGTTGTTTATTACTACAAATCAGATTGATGTGATTGCTTATAAATATCATATCTGTAAAGTTTTTTTCAACAATGTATTTATTAATAATCATTTTGACCTACTATCTAAGCTGCCAAGGCATCGCATCTTAAGTACTACTTAGCTACATACTTAAAAAGGTGGTTCTTCAAGGGTTCTTTAGTAAAGACAATATTTCTATTTAGAACTATGAGTTCTATATAGAACCATTTCAGGCTTAAATGGCTCTCTGCATGGTGAAATGGTTTTTCAGATTGATGAAGAATGGGTTGTATATGGTTCTATGTATAGAACCATTTTGAAAATGGTTCCACATAACATAACAAATGTTAGAATGTCAAGCTTGTAACAACAGCAGTACTCCTTTTTGTGTTACATAGAACCATACACAACACATTCTCCATCAATCTGAAGATGCAAAGAACCCTACAAGCATGAAACAGAACCACTGTCTTTAGTAGAGAACCCTTGAAGAACCATGTGTCTGGACTAATTACTGAGGGTTTTTCAAAAAATGGTTCTAAATAGAACCATTTCATGCTTAAATGGCTCTCTGCATGGTGAAACGGTTCTTCAGATTGATGAAGAATGGGTTGTACATGGTTCTATGTAACACCAAAAATGTTAGAATGTCAAGCTTGTAACAACAGCAGAACTCTTTTTGGTGACATATAGAACCATATAGAACACATTCTCCATCAATCTGAAGAACTACTTCTCCATGCAAAGAGCTATTTAAGCATGAAACAGAACCACTGTCTTTAATAAAGAACCTTTGAAGAACCAAGTGTGTGGACTAATCACTGAGGGTTCACAAGCTTGTCACAACTATGTTATATCTGAAAAGGTTTTTTCAATAATATATTTATTAATAATATTTAAAAAATCATTTTGACCTACAAACTAAGCTGCCAAGGCATTTCATCTTAAGCACAACTTAGCTACATACTAAGTAGTACTTAAGATGGTTCTTCAAGGGTTCTTTAGTAAAGACAATAATACTGTTACCTGTGTTAGAACCATTAGCTCTACATAGAACCATTTCAGGCTTAAACAGCTCTGCATGGTGAAATGGTTCTTCAGATTGATGAAGAATGGGTTGTACATGGTTCTATGTATAGAACCATTTTGAAAATGGTTCCACATAACACCAAAAGTGTTAACGTTAGAATGTCAAGCTTGTAAGAACAGCAGAACTTTTTTCATGTTACCTAGAAACATGTACAATACATTCTCCACCAACCTGAAGAACTATTTCTCCATTCAAAGAACCATTTAAGCATGAAACAGAACCACTGTCTTTAGTAAAGAACCCTTGAAGAACCACATGTGTGGACTAATTACTGAGGGTTTACAAGCTTGTCATAACTATGTCATATCTGAGAAGGTTTTTTCAACAATGTATTTATTAAAAATCACCCTGACCTACTAACTAAGCTGCCAAGGCATCTCATTTTATAAGTACTACTTAGCTACATACTTAAAAAGGTGGTTCTTCAAGGGTTCTTTAGTAAAGACAATAATTCCATTTAGAACATTCTATATGGAATGGTGAAATGGTTCTTCAGATTGATGAAGAATGGGTTGTACATGGTTCTATACAGAACCATTTTGAAAATACCAAAAATGTTAGAATGTCAAGCTTGTAACAATAGCAGAACTCTTTTTCGTGTTACCTAGAACCATATACAACACAGTCTTCATAAATCTGAAGAAACATTTCACCATGCAGAGAGCCATTTAAGCATGAAACAGAACCACTGTCTTTAGTAAAGAACCCTTGAAGAACCAAGTGTGTGGACTAATTACTGAGGGTTCACAAGCTTGTCTGAGAAGGTTTTTCAAAAAATGGTTCTAAATAGAACCACTTCATGCTTAAACAGCTCCTGCATGGTGAAACGGTTCTTCAGATTGATGAAGAATGGGTTGTATATGGTTCTATGTATAGAACCATTTTGAAAATGGTTCCACATAACACCAAAAGTGTTAACGTTAGAATGTCAAGCTTGTAACAACAGCAGAACTCGTTTTTCATGTTACCTAGAACCATGTACAATACATTCTCCACCAATCTGAAGAACTATTTCTCCATTCAAAGAACCATTTAAGCATGAAACAGAACCACTGTCTTTACAAAAGAACCTTTGAAGAACCAAGTGTGTGGACTAATTACTGAGGGTTCCCAAACTTGTCTGAGGTTTTTTCAACGATATATTTATTAAAAATCAGGCAACCAAAAAACAGATCAATACACCTAATAAGTAACCAGCTAACTGGCATCAATATTCCCTAATTAATATATATTTTACAATGAATTTTCTTATGACAGCGAGTTCAACGAAAACGACGAGCTTTTTAGCATTAATACTTGTAGCTGATGGAAAAAATAGGTATATAAATCTGGCTGACAGGGCAGAAAGGCAGTTAGCTGGCTTGGCTACCTTAGCTTTAGCTTAGCTTTAGCTTAGCTTAGCTTTAGCTTAGCTTCCTCCACTGCTGAGGATGTAAACATTATTAGCTCCGTACCTGACGTGTCTTATTTTCACTGAAGAGCGGAATAAAAATCTCTCGAAGGCATTTTTCTTTACTGAATCGGGATCCAGTCACGCTCACTGTCAGCCTGGGAGCTCCGTCAGCACAGCCAGCGCTGATGTTTTCATTCCTTTCCTATCAGCATCAGCTGAAATCCGGCTCTACGTGGCCCGGAGATTCGTTAAAGGGCCGGAGCTCAGCGCTACTGCCCGCTACTGCCCCCTACCGCCGCCCAGTCACCCCTACAGAGAGGGCAAACCTGCCTCAGAGAGGAGGAAGAGCATGATTTACACTATATTGCCAAAGGTATTCACTCACCCATCCAAATCATTGAATTCAGGTGTTCCAATCACTTCCATGGCCACAGGTGTATAAACCCGAGCACCTAGGCCTGCAGACTGCTTCTACAAACATTAGTGAAAGAATGGGTCGCTCTCAGGGGTCAGTGAATTCCAGCGTGGTACCGTGACAGGATGCCACCTGTGAAACAAATCCAGTCGTGAAATTTCCTCACTACTAAATATTCCACAGTCAACTGTCAGTGGTGTTATAACAAAGTGGAAGCGAAGTGAAGTCCTTTACACACAGATGGAAATCCCTTGAAAGCCCAATGCCAAAGTAATGACTTATTTTCACCTTGACCGAATATCACAACTAATGACCTTGTATCTCATCGACGTTTTTGTCAAAAGAATGATTTTTCTCAAAATTTTGACTTACTGGGTTGGAATAATGACTTGTTTTCCCAAACTATTGGCTTACCATGTCAATATAATTACTTAGTATCTCGAAATAATGCCTTGGATCCATGAAAAAAACTGAAATTTAATAACTCAATATAGTCACGTTATTTCAAAGTATCTTGAATGTTAGAGATTAAGTCAATATTACAGCAAAATGCATCATTATTTCAAGATACTAAGTCAATATGTTGAAAATAAAGTTCATCATTTTGGTGGGAATGGGCTTCCAGATAACTCTCCTTGCCTTTGTGTTTGATATTTTTCCCCCCATTTCTGGTTTCCACAATCAGCTTCCAGAGCCGGATATGGACCAGTTGCATCTTCTAAATACGGTGTAATTCATAGATTTGTACATTTCAAATAATACATTCAAAAAACATCTACTTATTCAAGTAAGTTTATGGGGAAAGGACAACATTATTTTCCAGTTTATCCCCTTACAGCTATCACAGTGTGCCAGAGGTATACATTTACTATTATTTATTTTTTCAGACCGAAAGGATCCAAACAGAATAGACTCCAGTTCCTATGTTGACAGATGCTGGATGTACTGATGTTTGAAAGTCTGATGTCTCTGGTTTTCTTTGTCAGTATATTATAATCTGAAATACACAACAAATTAAGATCAATGTCTTAGCGAGATTGTCATTCCTTAACTCTTCCAACAGGCATTTGGTTTAAAATCAGAAGAAAAATGCGAAACACAACGTACAGACAGACACAGCTCCACAGGCAGTACGAAACAGTGCTTTCTTTATTTCTCCGCACTCGTCCCAAATGGCCAAATCTTATTTACAAGGCATGCCACATCAATACGAGAACCGACTAAAGGACGTCATTAATAACCAATGATCAATAGTCAATAACACATATGAGCTCTGAGGGGAACAGAGGGATATCGAAGAAATAAAATCAAAACAAAAAAAAATGATCAGCTCTCCATATTTTCCGCTGACCAGAGGTATTCGATACGCTTGTTTTTTTATTTGTTCAAAAATGAGCAGGATTTGTCCATTAGAGGAGTGTAATGTCATCATTAGTCTCTCATTTTCGTTCTTCAGATCCTCAGATGTTGAAATTGGGCAGAAACGTCTGGTAAAGAGGAGGACCTAAGTCAAAACAGGGTTTGGGGTCAGGCCAAGCTTGACCTCATTCCACAAAGACGGATAAAAAGCTTCTAGGGAAAAGATGCTCATATAAAAGTCCTCCAATAACCACAGATTAATGTCATAGTGTCCTTCGTTAAGATGGTCATTCATAAAGTTCAGTCTCCCTCAAAGGTGGTTCAGATATAAAAATCGTTCACCTATGAAGACTGGGATGAAAACATGGACATATCAAAAGAAAGAAAAGAAAAAAAACTGAAAGAAAATAAGCCAAGACTAAAGAGGAAACAAATTTGTCATGTACATCTCTGTAAATGAACCAGTGGACAATCTCCTTCCTAAAAAGTAAGCTTATTAAACAAAAAAAAAAAAATTCATGAAATATTTTTATATTTCATGAAATTGTCATGTTTCTTCTCACGTTCACAAGAATATGTCTCACGCTGTCTTGAATCACACGCACTCCCTCTCTCACATACTTTCTCACAAAAGGTATGCATGTATACAAGCTCTCTCACACGCACCACTCACTCACTCTCCGTTTCTCACATACACAGGGTGGGATGGTGGGGGGGGGGCGTGGGGTAGTGAAGCTTCAGCCTCAGTCTCAGTTCCCTGGTGCAGTTTGCTAACACATGCAGGAAGAGATGGAGCAGGAGAAGGGTGAGGGTGTGTGGGGGGTGGGGTTAAGGGGTGTGATCATATGAGGCCTCGTCTCTTTTTGTAGTCTTCCAAGTTGAGCGACCGGCGAGGAGCTCCGTCCTTCACCGGCAGGGCGTTGGAACTGACTGACAGTGACTTGGCTTCTGCAGAGAAACAGCAAAACAAACACTGATCAGCTTTTCATTCACCTCTTTTTTTGAGAATGTTCAAACTGCACACAAGAGAACTTCAAAGGAAAAGCCAGTTTTTTGGGGTTTTTTTTTCCGAGAGGCTGAAATGGAAAAGTTGCAAGAAAGATGACAGTACCTTTCCATAGTAAACAGAAGAAGGCACAACAGTCAGTATTTTTATTGTTACTAAAATAAATAACCTGAATATGTATGTAGAACATGATGGAAAACAAATGTTGACATATATGCCAGAGAAAACCCATCTGGAAATTCTTTTTCTGGATAGTATTTTATTTATGATTTCTTTATGACTATTTTATTTTTGTTTTGTACGTTTTCACTCAATATATTGTTTTATGTTTTGGCCATGTCTCGGCTACACCGAAATACACAACAACAACAACAACAACAACAACAACTATTTATACAGACTGCAGTCTGTTATAGACGCCCCCATTGACTCCAGTCAGTCTGTTATAGACGCTCCCCTTAAATCCTGTCAGTCTAATAAAGACACCCCTCCACTCCAGTCAGTCTGTTATAGACGCCCACCCTTCAGTCCCGCCAGTCTGTTATAGGCGCCCACCCTTCAGTCCCGTCAGTCTGTTATAGATGCTCCCCCTCATTCCAGTCAGTCTGTTATAGACGCTCCCCTTAAATCCTGTCAGTCTGTTAAAGACACCCCTCCACTCCAGTCAGTCTGTTATAGACGGCCACCCTTCAGTCCCGTCAGTCTGTTATAGACGCTCCCCCTCATTCCAGTCATCTGTTATAGACGCTCCCCTTAAATCCTGTCAGTCTGATAAAGACACCCCTCCACTCCAGTCAGTCTGATATAGATGCCCCCCTTCACTCCTGTCAGTCTGTTATAGACGCTCCCTTTCATTCCTGTCAGTCTGTTATAGATGTTCCTCTTTACTGCTGTCGGTCTATTATAGACACTCCCCTTTACTCCTATAAGTGTGTAGGTGTGGTTTGCACAGAGGGGCAGGGACAGGAAGTGGGGCCAAAGTAAATAAACAAAGTATTCAATGTTATTGTACTCTCTACTCCGTATTTTCTAAATGCTAGAGATCCAGTTTTACCTGTTGCACTTTTAAGGGCCATAGTTAGTTTGGTGGCAGATGAAAATTGTATTCCATACATCAGGAGTGATTAAAAAACTGACGAAAGCAAAAGCTATTTAATACCTGACGGTAAACAATAACAGTGCTCAAATGTACCAGGAATGTCAAGGGCTTGAAACAGCCTATTCAGCAGTACTAATGACTACTGTCCCACAAGAAAACACAGCCTAAAATCTCACTGTCTAAAGTCCACTGTCTGTTTGCTGAGCTTTCACTATCAAAAGGTCTCATTCTGTTACACCACAGGAATTGCATATACAGTAGTCAATGGAAGAAAATTAATCCATGCTTTCTTTTCATCAAAATTCCCCTAACATCTGTGAAACACTCTAACAGCAATCCACTAAGCAAGTAGAGCCATGAGCCAGTGCTTCGTAAAGCTGACGGCAGTTGCTCTAAGCCTGCTGAACTGGTAGGAAGGAGAAGCTGCAATAAACAGACACTCACCAGCATTGGGAACCTGCAGGTCGATTTTCACGTCAAAATCGTGAACTTTAAACAGATCCTCCGAGAGGTCGCTGGTTGGCTTTGCAACATCTTTATCTCTCGGGTTGCTCTGTCCCTGTATAACATGCACAAATGACACATCTGTGGTCAGGAAAGGCCAATTCTGTATACATTTCTGTATCTTGCTTTTATTGCAATGCATGGCAAAAAGATTCTCCATGGCTCACCTGTATGCTGGCCTGCTGTGTGTTGTCTTGAGCAGATCCTGAACCTGAACCGTATTTCTGATTAAGATGGGCGAGGATAGCAGCATGGACAGAAGGATCTCTGGCCTGGAGGAAAAAAAAGGGAAGACAACAAATTAACTCACTAATCAGCTCAAAAGAGAGAGCCTGACACACACTATTACTAAACCATGTGATTCTGGTCAAAGCCCAACTCTGATTTCTGGACTTGCAATTAGTAGTTATTGAAGAAGAATGATTGTGAGCATCATTTCTTTTTTGCTGTAGGTGTTTATCATGTTTTTTTTTTTATTTACTACTACTACTACTACTACTACTACTACTACTACTACCACTAAATTTTTATTTATATAGAACTTTTCATGCCAGTGGCAGCTCAAAGTGCTTTACAGACAGGTGACAAAAGTTTAACAGTAAAACAAAAAGCTAATTATTCATTAGAATCATACAAGAAAATGACACAGATCAGATTAAGGGATAAATACCAAGATACATAGAGTTTTAATTAAATGTTAAGTCAAAGAGCTGCGTTTTTAGATGCTTCTTAAAAGTGAGCACTGAGCTTGACTGTCTAATAAAAGGTGAACTGAGCTCCACAGTTTAGAGCCAGAATAACTGAACGGGTCTCTCCATGTTTTCCGTACTTTACAGAAGGTATTTGCAGGTCAGTATCTGCAGATCTAAAAGCATAAACAGACAGACACTCTGTGATGTAAGCTGTTCTTCTGGGTCATTTATAGCCTTAAAAACTATTAGCAGAGCTTTAAAATCTATCCTGAATGATACAGGCAGCCAGTGAAGTTCTTTCAAAACAGGAGGGATATGATTAGCTCATTACTTTTAATTAGGACTTCACTTTAATCTCAGTTTTATTAGATGTAGACCTCTTTATTGATGTATACAGATCAAGTAAGTTTCCACTGATCTGTTCACAATGTACTAGCTAATTCATTGTAACATAGGTATTAGGGTCGCCCAAATGAGATATAATTTATTAAAATGCTTTCGTATTATCAAAGCAGCAAGGTTGCGATAGCATTTAACAACATACTGTGCAAATGCGTGTGACTAATATGATCACCACGGGTCACGAGAGAGAACAGAAGAGAGGCATTCTTACATTGGACACCATAGTTGGTTTGCACTGTCGTCTTGTGAAAGGGTCCATCTGCTGGTTCTTAGAGTTCTGACCCTCAGCCTACGAAAGGAGCAGCACAGTTACACAGTCAACTTCCGTTAATAAAGAAAGGGTAAAACACTCAGACAGGATCCAACATGTACGTACCACCAGAGCTTTCTCAGACTCCACAATGTTCCAGCTCCGGTTCCTCTGGTTGATATAGCTGAGATGAGAAGCAGGAGAAAATGAAGAGAATGATGTAATGTGTGACTAAGAGAAGAGAGATGACCAAAACAGGGATTTCACTCTTTCACTGTTTCAGATTCTGACACTCAGATGTATGTGCACATATATATTCTCACCTGATAGCAGAGATGTTTTTGGTTCTCTGTCTGTCTAGTGCTTCAGCCCTCTCCTCCAGTTCATTCAACTGATCCTGCAGCATTTTCACTCGCTCACCATCTCCACTCTCCTCAGCCATCGCCTAAAGCACACACATGCACAGCAGTTTGTTTTTGTATGTCACATATAACTACAATAATATACTTACAACATATGTAATCATATTGCAAATATAAATATGTATATGTAATAGGAATAATTTTTCAACTATAACCATAAAACTAAACCCAACGCTAACCTCAAGAACCAAAAAGAAACATTGGTCTTGAAAATGTACAAAAACAAACGCACAATTTTATGTGGTGTCACAGATTTAAAATAGTTCATAAAAACTGAACCTTTTCTTTGAGGAGCTGCGTCTTCTTCATAGCATAGTTTGGTGGTGCCTTTCGGAATCGGTCCTTCTCTTTCACAATCTGTTAATGACACACAATAGAAAAATTACATAGTAATAAACAAATTATATATATCTCGATAAAATGAAAAAAATATTGCTATTGACAAATTCTTTGGTGAATTAACAAATGTTTTCACTGTGCAGAAGAACTCTTCAGACCATGACTTACATCCTCAATGTCTTTGTCATTGAATTTGTAGTTGAGGGCTTCTTTGATGGACTGCTCTTTTTTGGTGATCTCATCCAGAGTAGGAATCTGCATTCCAGCAACAATCATCTGCAGACCAACAATTTACAAGAAGAGTTACTTCCTTTACACATAGCATGTGTTCATACATGCATTATAGAGAACAGAAAACAAAGAGGATTGGAACTCCAAGAGTTTAGTCAAGTTTGTTGTCCTTGAACTGATCACACTCACCGCATCCTTCCATTTCATGAATTCATTTTCTGTGAATTCCTGATTGGACACGAACTCGAGCCGAAATACTCGAGTGTCGTTGCCGTGCCTTCGGAAAACAAGCACAAACAAACAAATGCATACATCGGAATGGAGACAAAAGGAAAGCAAGTCTAAACAAGCCTTAAATGAGGGGCAGTTTACCGTAACTGTAGCCCCTTGTTTGTTCTTGTAGATCCCAGCTGGTAGACTTTAGCCGTTTCAACCACATCCACAATTTCAGCCACCTGGGATTAAATAAAGTAATAAAACATCAACAGAAAGAACCAGCAACTATACTCAATTTACACAGGTTTCCAAACCACATGTGGTTCAAGGCAAGCTTAAGCTGAAAAGAACATCAATTTGGCTAGAATAAATATGATTCTTAAACCTGTAAATCTTTAATTTAATTGAGATTCACATACCCGGTAGACAGGTTTACTGCTGCTGTTGCCAATGCCAATCCGTACAAAACAGCCGGTAACGGTTTTGGCGAAGAAGGGCATGTGGCACCACCGCTCCAACTTGTGCCGTGAAAGACGGACCCGATTCAGTTCCTCTGGCAACGACACTGGGCTGAGACTTAGGGGGCGCCTCCTCTTTCCTGTGAAATAGACACAAGTATCAGAGGTAAATGCAACAAGTTTTCACTCAAGCCATCTCAATCCTCCAAAACAGGCCTCTGCGACATGGCTAGAAATCTTACCCAATATCGATATATACGTTTGCACATTCATACAATACATTCTATTTTAATGAGTAAACAGCTTATTCAGGTGTAACACACAAATTAGCTAGCTCTGTGAGAAGCTCAGTTTAGTCCTGATGTATTTAGGCCTGCGAGTCTCACCTTTCAGACATCAGAATGTCTGGTGTGCTTTGTCGAACAATGTGGCCAATAACTGCCTCCCTTATTCTGGTGTAATACTCAAAATTAGCTAGCTGTGTGTGAAGCTATATGCAAGCTTTTACTGCTAATACTGGACTAAGGAACAGAACTGCAAAATTATTTTATTGAGAATGCCTCAAACACTGATTACGGATATTAAAAATAAATTAAACAAAATGTTGCTGGTTCCAAGCCTAGTTAAAAAGCACTATATCGCTGTTGTCGGAAAAAAAACGTTTATCTCCAAAATGGTAACTTTACAGGAGAAGGAAAAACTTTACTTTTAATGTAAGTCAATAGAACCAGACTTTTTTCCAAGTCATTCTGGGTCACTTCTTTTAGTCCGTTCATCGTGAAGTGCCTTAAGATGGATTTCTTTGCTGTAATGACTTTAAATTCTCAACAGGAAATACTGGAATTTTTCAAGCACTCCTAGGAAAGAGTGTGATCAGTAGCAAAAAGAAAGCCTCTGGTAACCGCAGTGTGATAATACTCACTCTTCTTCCTCATCGAAGGATGAAGATCTTGAGCTGCGGTCACTTTTTACTGAGGACTTATCGTCGTCTTCCTCTTCCTCCTCTTCATCGTCAGAGTACACCTCGCTGGTCTTCAGAGGTTGCCGTTTGGCCAGGAGCTCAGCTGTTAAGTAAGATTTCAAAATGTTTTTTTTAAGACTAATAGTGTTTTGAATCCAAGTGGGAAATACATTAGTTTAAAAACATATTTAATAAAAAGAAAACATCCTAAAGAACACAGGATAATTTATACTGAATGTAAATGTCAAGTCCCACCTGTTCTGTTTTTCTTTTTCTCACGCTCTGCTTTCAGCTCTTCCATGGCCTGAGATTTCTTGTCCAGCTTCTCATCCCTCTTAGACCTCCTCTCTTTATTATGCGACATCACCTGTGCAGGTGAACAGAAGGCATACAGAAACAGTAAGGTGTGACTTGCTCAGAGAAACCAGAACACTAATACACAATTACAAGCTTTTACAAAAACCTGCGGTCGGACCTTCATCTCAGAAGGATGTTCATCAAAGAAATGAGTCCTAATGTATTTAGTCTTGCAAGCCAGACATCTGCCTATCGTCAGAGGTTCTGGTGTGTTTTGTAGGACAGTGTGGCTAATACTTGCCCTACTCTGACAGCAAAGGGCTGTGCGACTGACTTGCAGACAGTCCATCCACAAACCGTTGTTTCTGTTTGACATGCAAGGGCAGACAATTGTCAGAACAGCGCAAAAACAAAAACATACCCACAGGAAACAAAGGGGTATGCATAAAGTTAAGGGACGTAACGTTATGAACTTCATTTATGTAGCAGTGTGTTTGCTTCCCATACCATGGTTGTGTGGGTAGCCAATCCGAATATGGCCCAATCCCAATTCACCCCTCGCTCCTACAGCCCTTAGCCCTCCGTTTTGTGCATTCATGTCTAGGGGTAGGGTGTCCTGATTTTTGTTGAGATGGAGGGGTAGGGCAAAGTGGTCCTACATGGCCCTCCAAAAGGAGGTTTTTCAGAGGCACACTCCACACAGTATCTAGCTAGCTAAATTTCCCATTCTAACTTAAATAGTCCAGCAGTTCTGACACCTGAAGCGCCTGAATGTAACTGCTGCTCCAATTAAGATGAAACAGAAAAATTCGAGCAAGAAGCTGGTGAATATCTGACTTCAGCCTCATATGACCAAAGAATTAGGGGTGAGTGATAATAAATAATTATTGCACCCCCCCCCTCTTTGAAAGCATATGATGCCCTAAATGTAACTAAAGCCCAGCAGTGACGAGCTGAACATTACCCTCCTCTGCGGTCACTGCAGACTGGCAGGGTCGCCTACAGAGCAGCGCTAGTAGCTGTTAATGAAGTAATGCTCTTTTGATTTGAGGGTCCCATTTCATAGAGGAAGATTTCAACCACTACCCTGTAACTCAGTTCCAAGGGGCAAGATGACACTGGAAAACAAGGGGTAAGGGTAAAAATAAGAAGTGGGACTGCGTCTATAACTGACAAGACTCGCTCTGTGGATGGAGCATCTGAGGCTACCCTATTGGATTTCAGCATAAGCTGGTGTACTGCTCTCTTCACAGGCTGGAAGGACTACTCACCACCTGAGTGTCTGTGACCTGAGACTGCTTTTTCTTCTCCTGCTCTTCTTCTTGTTTCTTCTTCTTCTCTTCCTTTTCTTTTTTCTTTGCAGTCTTCAGTTTCTGCTTGATTTCAAACCTAAACAGTGTAGAGGACAAAGGAACATGATGAACAAACATTCTCTTGAAGAACATTTCCTGGCATCTTGGGCTATAAAAATGCATCAATTCATCTTGATCCTCCCAGGTGTGCACTCCAGATTCTCTAGATATTTCTAAAGTTAAAAAAGCTTTGTGTATCTTTATTGTCTGTATACCACAGCTCTTTCAGACACATTTATGTTTATAAATAAATCCAAACCATATTTAAAATCATGGTAAAAATGATTCATGATGCAAAAATCATTAACATAATCAAGTTGAATTGTCATGAGGTCAGATTTACTCTCCTATTTGCAGCATGCAGAATGAAATGTGGGCTCAACAACTGGGTCCAATTTAACTATTCAATGCATGACTTTGGTGAAGAATAAAAGAAAAGGTCAACGTTTAAGAATCAGTCCTTCTCCTCACCTCCGTTTGAGCACCTCTCTCTTCTCGATACGGTTGAAGAGCTCCTGCTCTCTCTCTTTCTCCGTCATCTGTTCCAAACGTGCTCGGTCCTCCTCGTCTCCCATGAGATCGTCTCCATACCCGTCCCGGAACACTTCGTCCTCCGAGGAGGAGTCGGAGTCGGAGCTGGAGGAGGAGCTGTTGCTCTCAGAGTCTGACACCTCACCTGCGTGATTCAGAAACTGTGTTAGCTTGTGATGTCACAACCAGGAACACATTTACATAGGACTACCTATTAACTGAGAGTTAATAGACCATTATAGACCACATTCAAGAATTTTCTTTTTTTAAAGAAATTTTAATGCTATATTATGATTAATACCACTTTTGTTAGAGTCCTTCATTAGCCACATTCACATGCAGCTGTTCATAATCCAATCAACACCTCAATCAGAATAGACTAGTCCAAATGAGGCCATTCGGAATACAGTTTCTATCGGATTGAACGAGGAGGGTAATCCTGTAAATAATCTGTGAAATAGGAAGAATAATACCCGTGTAAACGCCTGTATCTGATCAGAAAGTCTAAATCCGTTCTGATCATGTGCGTCACGTCATAGTGAGAGTTTACACCGTTCAACATGGTGGAGCAGAAACTGGTCTGCAGAGGAGACGAAGTTTATGCTCTGATCTTTAAAAGACGGCGGTGGGACGGACGTCCAGCTTATGTGTCTCAGAACACGACGTCTTCCTCTCAGCCTTCTTTAATAAGGACACGTGAAGGACGTTTTTCTGAGTCTGACATCATTTTAAAGTAATTAAAAACACAAGCGCTGCTCACTGCTGCTCATCTCACTCTGACTGGACCCACGTGAAGCTCATTGCCACGGTAACGTCTACACTAAGTGGTTCTCTATGCATGCGCGTCATTTTGGATCAGATTACTTGTAGTGAGCATGTAAACAGAGATTTTCCATCAGATTGTTGAGTAGAGTGAAAATATAAACACCTCAGTCTTCATCTATAATCGGAATGTATTCAATCAGATTGGCAAAAATCTCTGCATGTAAACACAGCCATTACGTTAGCTGTTCAGAAGCTTACGTCCAAAATTATTACAAATAAATAAACAGCATTTTGGAACGAAACTCTAAAATAAAAAGAGAGGTTGGAAAGTGGTCGTACATTAATTATGACTGTCTTTGGTACATAAAACACAAAATAAAAAAAAAAAATATGGCTCCTTCATGGATGCCACTAAACTAGTCCAATTTGACTGGTACTCGCATATAATCTAAATATGGAGGGGTGGGGGGAGAGTTCTCTCTTACCCTCCTCTGGAGCTGAACTCTCTGCCGAGCTGTCTCCATCTGAGCTGCCTGATGAAGCTGCTTTGTTCACTCTCTTCTTCGTAGCGTTCTTCTTTTCTGCTCCTTTACTGGGCTTCACCTTCTTCTTGGCTTTGGTGCCTCCAACAGTCCACTAATACACAAAGACACCACTGATACATTAAGGCTGCATAGTTACACTGTAAATATGTTCAGTTTTTTCCTTCCTCAATTGATTACGCATAATCAGCTGTAATATTGATGACATTAACTAAAGCTAGCAAACTGGCTGATGTTGACATATTTGCATTTCTAGTTAAAACACTGTGCATTACATGATCGCTTTTCTATGCAGGCATAAGTCCTTTCTATTCGGGTGCACACAGTGGTGTGGGGATGGTCTTCAGGACCAACAAATTGATTTTACTTAGCTTGATCCGGCTCAGAGAAATGAGCGCAGCTATAACCAATAGAAAGAAAAACCTCCAGATGCCCAGTTAGATCATTTACAGTGTTTTCAAAGGGTTTTTTGCCATCTTTCATGGATGACAACAAGGGGCGTATCAGCGGTAAGGTTTTAAATTTCAATACGGAGTTTAGAATTTTCAGTTCTTCAATGCTATATTTTGTTATGTTTTTGTCTAATTCTGTTTACGTTTTAAAAGATTATAGTTTATTAACTGGGACAAATAACCACAATTTCAATTTTTAGCAAAATAATTGCATTTTTTTAAGCCAATATATTGCAATCTTACATAAGCATGGAACGCAAAATCTCAAACTGGAATCGAACAAAAGTGCAATCTAACCGGGATAAGGGAAAAGCTTAGCGGGCAACACTTGAGGGGCAGTGCCTTAGTTTGTTTTTGCACCACATCCACAACAAGCACTGTTAAAAAAAAACCATATGATGCAGTGAGGCTGGTTTGTGCATAAATTGACAAACTGTCTAGATTGTTTCCTCCTGATTAATTTTAAGTTGTTCATTTCTAAACAGTTCCAAATACAAAAGAAAGAAAAATAGATCCAATCTATATGTAAGTGTGCCCTGCGATGGACTGGCGACCTGTCCAGGGTGTTTCCTGCCTTCTGCCCAATGACTGCTGGGATAGGCTCCAGCTCCCCACACGACCCAGAAGGATAAGCGGCTTTGATAACACGCGCATGTGTGTATGCAAGCACTGCATATGGCTGTTGTCGGAAGAAAACCTTGTATCTCCAAAATGGTAACTTTACAGGAGAAGGAAAAAACATACTTTCTTTTAATGTAAGTCAATGGAACTAGAATTTTTTACAAGTCATTTTGGCTCATTTCTTTTAGTCCATTCATCATGAAAATTATACATAATGTAATGGGCAACATGCGTTTTTAAATTATGACAAAAACTGAAAAACGCACTGTAAACACCATTTTGAAATTTAAACAATCCTCAGACTTTTCACCTAATAGTTTGAGACCTGAACTAGCTACACATTTTACATTTGTGGGACGGATTTGAACGCAGTATCATTAGATGACAGCAGATTATAAAACATGCTGGCGTCGCTAACTGAAAGTGAAACTTCTCAAACTCAGTTTCCCTATAAACTGCCTCAGAGCTGCGTCTCACATCTGGTGTAGATGGGTTTGTTGATTACAGTGGGCACGTTTTGGTTTTGTTGTTGCCGCTCGCGTGCTGTAAGGACAGGATGGCATTCATTATTGTACTTTTCGTCAGGCTTCTTTCTCGTAAAACACTTGTTAATTTGTTATGGCTGTCACTTTTTTTGGTTCCCGTTGCTTGGTTACAGGCGAACAATGCAGAGTGATACTTAAGAGATTCGGTCAGAGTGCCATTTTTGGGAGATATCAGCACTTGTAGGATGACACTGCGAGGGAATAACTAACTGTGGTAGAACACAACATTAATAGGGTGGATAAGAGTGGAAATGAGAGGTGCAGAGTGGATTCGGGTCACGGTACCTCATCATCACTGTCAGACGTCTCAGAGTCTGTAGATGCTGCAGGTTTACTGACAGGCTCCTCTTGTCCTTCTGAGTCCACCCTCTTCCGCTTGGCTAAGCTCAGCAGCTCCTAGAAAGAGAAACGGAAAACATTTAATTTTTTGCTCTTTTTCCAATTCACCTCTTTAACTCCTTGGGACCACCGGTGGTTCCAAAACACACTTCGTCATATTCTTTACTTCATAACTTTCATATTTTATAAGCCTAATTTAAAAGGTGGGTGTCATATGAGAGCTGTAACTTTCTTCTTTCCAGTCAAATCGATGGGTGATGTAATTTTAAACCCTTATAATAAAAGAAGCTGAACTCACAACTTTTTTTTTCTACTGAAAGTCGACCCATTTTTCCACAATTCTGAGCTAGAAACTGGATCTCAGATGGTGTCTCTTCAGTGATATTTTCTGTAAAAATTATTTTTATTAAATAATACAAAGAGCGTCTAAGATTTTTGGTTTTCAGCTGTAAATTGTAAGCATATAGTAATATGTTTATGATCATAAAACACACTTTCTGTTAATTTGAGGGGAGCTTTTACAATTTACATTCATTTCATGCAGTTACTGAATAATTTGTCTAACAATTTGGGTTTGTAAATTCAGATGGAAAAACCAAAATATACCTAAGAGCATAAGTTTAATAAAGTGACATACTTGAATACTCTAGTTCTTCATTCTAACCTATCACTGACACATCAAGCTCTCTACAACGACAACAATGTCATTTGTACACCATTTTGAACATCGCATCTTCAAGCTGGTACAAAATTAAAATGACACATTCTCACAGGTTCTGCCACGACAGAGAAGGTGTCATTTTAACCCCTTAGTGCCAAGTGCTCTTTTTCAACCTTCTACCTGAAAAAATTTCACTTCACGTTTTCCAGGGTAACTCTCAAGCTGTCTGATGGGTGAACAGGAGCAGACACGTTTGATCTGAGCTCACCACAGTTTAGAACAACATGCAGAGATCTAAGTGCAAGTTCAAGTTCAAAGTTGCTTGATTAGCATTTTATGTTGGAGGACAGCCAAAGCACTTAATTCTCAGATCGGTTTATTGATCAGTCAGACAATCTAAGACGGTTATAGGGAAAAAAAAGTGTCCAAAGTTTATAGAAATACTTTCCAATTTGTGAATTCAGGTGAACATTTAAGGTGCAACCACTGGTGATATAGGTACTCAATTGTGCACACATACAGAAAAGCATTTCCAGTGGAATGGGACGCTCTGGAGCAACCGCATGGCCAACATGCCCAGTCTGAGGGGTATAAAGACCCCCAGCATTGGGCTGTGCAGCAGTGGAACTGCACTCTCTAGAGCAGATTAGGGTCTTTAATTAAAATTCAATAAGGTCCAGTTAGAGAAAATATCCTCAAGCAAAGGTCTGAAACATCATAATGTGTAATTTGCATCATGATTCAGTACCAAATACGGTTTACTGAAGTAGCCTAGTAGGTATATCAACATCTTATACAATCAACAACTGAATGTCAAATCAAATAAAGTACAATTCAGACATATTTCAACAACATTTGTTGTGAGTTTTCTCTTTTTCAGTGCTCATCGTAATGCACAGATCTGATTGGCTGAGTAGCGTCCCGTGCGATATTTACAATGCGTGCGATTCGCCTGTGAGTCTCCCGGGCCGCTAAAGCCGTACCGTAAAGGCTAGAAACGTTAGGGCCACCCTGTCGAAATTAAATAATTCTCCACAGTTTATCGGTTACAGGTCCAGGTCTGCATAGGACAGCATCTGGGTCCGGACTCGGACCGCGATCCGCCTATTAGTGCCCTCTGCTCTAGAGCGATGGAGCGCCTTCCAATATCTTAGAGAAGTTAGAGTGGCATCTGTGATACAGAACTGATCATCCAACATTAGTACCTAACCTCACTAATGCTCTTGTAGCTGGATGCAATCAAACCCTCACAACATCCAGGGTAAAGCATTCCCAGAAGAGTAGCAGCAAAGGAGGGACGAACTCCCTATTAATACCCTTGAGAATAACCACTGGTTGATCCCGTGTCCATAAGCTTCTGAACATACAGTATGTATGTACGGAGGTGATGAAGCGGTCCAGTGTGATCACAGCCTGCAGGTCAATCTGCTGCTGGTTTATTAGACAGTCTTTGGTTAATCCATGGCTGACGAGTGCTTATGGCAGTGACTCTGCGCTCCATCTCAGCCGCCAGGATAAAATTAGCTCGCAAGAAAAACAACACAGAGCCCAGTTATGAACGGCCTCCCCATTAAAGAGGGCACCTCTGACTCTCAATCTCTTAAATGAGAGGTGTCCAAAGTTCGGCCCGAGGACTGAATGCAGCCCGCGGATTGATTTTAATTGGCCCTCTGGCCAATACGCTGCAACTCTTCCCTTCACTTGACAGAGGCAGCAGTGCTGCAAACCTTACCATTAACCTGCAAATGAATTTACTGAATGACATTCAGTCATGACAACACACACAAACAGTGTAGCTGGCAGTGACAACCGGCAATTCAAGAGGGGTGGCATACTTTCATCGAAAGCCATAACAAATGTGCCTCACATGTCAAGAGACTGTAGTGAACCTAATATTAAAACACACTATGAAACCTAGCATGAACAATAGAAATTTAGGGGAAAGGAAGGCAAAAAAATAGAAGCAGCCTTTAATCAGAGCAAATTCAGTAGTTGGTACAATAACCATGACTTTCTCTACATGTTTGTGTTTTTCATATTTTGAATACCGAACATTTAAAACCATTTACGGACAACATTTTGGCAAAGAATGACCAGCCCTCAGGTATTTCGACAGGGTCCATTCTGGCACCCTTTGAAAAAGATTTAGACACCTCTGGTTGGCCAAATGGGCAATTTAACCCACTTGGCGCCTTAAAGCCCAAGTGTGGCTTGTTTACTGATTACTAGCTCCGTTGAAGTCAAACACAGAGAGCTTGAGTGCGTGTTAAACACGGTCAGCTGTACCTACAGAAAGCAGAAAACACTAGTATTGATGCTTTAACACATGCAGAAGCAGCTCGCTTTCCACGCTGATGTTTACAACTGTCTCGCACCTCTAAGGAGGCTGAAAAGTTGGCTTCATATTCGCCAGCTCGTTGTTCGTTTTTCCCCCCCGTTCCACCTTAAATAGTGCAGCCGGGACCGGAATGTAACTGCTGCACTATTTAAGGTCGAACGGGAAAATTGGAACAAGAAGCTGGCGAACATAAGAACCTGCCTTCAGCTCCGTCCACAGCAGCTCTAGTTAGCTTCGAAGGCTACCTGGCCAGCAGCTTTAAATGTTTTAAAGGCTTTAAATTCGCGGATGACCCTCATTACTCACGAAAAGCAGGCGTTATAATGATACAAAAGCAAGCTGGTCGTTTAAACGCGCTGGGGGTTTTATATAAACCGCTGCCAGGCCCGGGTTTTTGCTCACAGCTAGCTAACTACGCTAGCTTAGCCTCGGCTAGCGATTAGCACGGCTCTCTCAGGCTTTTAGGTCCCAAATGTGAAAAGAACGAAGCTCCTAAATGTCTACGGTTTAGCGTTACCTGATCCAGATTGTCGTCGCTGGCGCTGTCCTCCGAGTCGGAGTCGATAACGACCCGACCTTTCCGCTTCTTTACGTTCACCATGATTAGCCCGCTTAGCCGCTGCTGCGTCTGTCTGTCGGACACGAACGAGCCGCGAGTTCGCGAGTCCTCCGAACCGCACGGGGGCGCTTTTCTGCGGGGCGGGAGTCAAAACGCTTTTTTTTGACCGAGCCCCGAAGAGGCCGCGGTTGTTTTGCGCATAATTTTGCGTTCCCTCGCAATAAGTTAGATTTTGCAAGGGATCGCAATGTCGTTCCAAATATTATTATTATTATTATTATTATTATTATTATTTAATAATAATAGTACTGAACGGTTGTGGACGAAGTACACAAATCATGTACCTGAGTTGAAGTAGAGGTACACAGGTAAAATATTACTGCAGTAAAAGTAGATGTTCCTCCCTTTAGACCTCCACTCGAGTAAAAGTACAAAAGTATTTGTCTTCAAATGTACTTAAGTATCGAAAGTAAAAGTACTAAAAGATTAATTATGGCTCTAATTAATCAGCTCATTTTAGGTGAAAATGCTGCAGTGTCTCTCTTGGTAAACCAGTCTTTTAATAGAGTCATTAATTAGTGACGCTGATGTCTGTTAAAATTATCATAAGCACAAAACACTGAAGGCAAACAGTTTCCATCAGGTAGAACTGAGTGGCTCTGAAATCACTTTTTACAAACAAGCAAAGTTTCAGTTTAAGATTTATTTGCAGCTTAGTTACAAGTTTAAGTTTAATAAAAACTTTAAACTCAGGTTCACAAATGAGTTTCCTTTACTAAACTGCATCTGTAGGTCTCTGTTCATAAACATAAACTAGCCAAAACAAATTTACTATAAAATGAAATAATGTTTGTATAAATTCAGAAAAAGACACGTCAGTCACAACTGCATATGTGTACATATTTCTATATGGTGGTCTGTTTACACAAAGTTAGGTTAGTTCATCATTTATGTTGAATAGACTCTCCCAAAATTTTACGCCGCTGCACTGATGTTGAACTGTGTGCTGCACTGGGTCGGTATGACCAACAGGTCAAAACAAGCTCAAAACAAAGTGACCGCTGTGCCCTGATTGGTGTTTTTGCTTCACGCTTCTTTCGTTTTGACATGTTGTGTTTTTATACACACATAAACCAAAAGGAGCGACAGATTTCTCATAATGTAGTGGAGTAAAAAGTGAGATATTTACTTTGAAATGTAGTGGAGTGAAAGTAAAAAGTCGCCCAAAATGGAAAGACTTCAGTAAAGATACACAAAAAAACTACTTAAGTACAGTAATGAAATACATTTACTTCGTTACTGTCCACCACTGGTATTGAACACTTCAATGAAGGGGTTAAAAATCTATTCTAGACTTTTAAAAAAGATGGTTCTTCAAGGGTTCTTTAGTAAAGACAGTGGTTCTATCTAGAGCCATGAACACTCAAAGAACCATTTGCATGCTTAAATGGTTCTTTGCATGGTGAAATTGTCCTTCAGATCAATGGAGAATGTGTTGTATGTGGTCCTACATAGAACCTTTTGAAAATGGTTCTATGACACCAAAAAGGGTTCTAAAAGAATGGGCTGCTTCTATACAGAAGGATTCCCTTTATTCAAGAACCATCTTTTTAAAGAGTGTATACCTAAATGGTTCTGGAAATCTTTATACTTGGCTTAATAAATCAACACAAATGATCTGACTTGGAATATAAATTCATAAAATATGATATTTTTAGGGCGGCACGGTGGCGCAGTGGGTAGCACTGTTGCCTCACAGCAAGAATGGCCTGGGTTCGATTCCCGGCTGGGTGACCAGCGTCGTTTCTGTGTGGAGTTTGCCTGTTCTCCCCGTGTCTGCGTGGGTTTCCTCTGGGTACTCCGGTTTCCTCCCACAGTCCAAAAACATGCAGTCAGGCCAATTGGACGTGCTGAAACTGACCCTAGGTGTGAGTGTGTGTGATTGTGTATGTCTGTCTGCCCTGCGATGGACTGGCGACCTGTCCAGGGTGTATCCTGCCTTCCGCCCAATGACAGCTGGGATAGGCTCCAGCACCCCACCGCAACCCAGAAGGATAAGCGGTTTAGATGACGTATGTATGATATTTTAATGAAAACGAATTTTAATGAATTTTAGGTAATAATATTATGATGTTGGCTAAAATAAATATTAAATACATAAAAGTAGAGTCTTTAGAAATTCTCCCAGTTGGTTAGCATTACAAAATAAACTGGCTTTGTATTACAAAGCCTTAAAATTCATGTGTGATAAAAATGCCCTCAAACTAATTATTTATTTGTTTGTTTCTTTGTTTGTTTATTCCCCCTTTTCTTGTTTTACTAATTTATGTATGTAGCTGTTCTGTTCATAGAATAGAATGCAACTTGCATTGCTGCTCTATGAAGGTTGATGTAAGAAATGTATTTGTTGCCTTTTTCACGCTACTATAAATAAATAAACAAGCAAATAAACAAACATAAATAAATAAAAGAAAACTATTCATGACTGAAATAGTACACTAAACGAATAAAATGTAGTATAGAATTACAAACACTCTTGAAAAGTGAATTACTAAATAAATCAATTTAAAAAAAAGAACAAAGAAAAAACATAAAGCAAAATCAATGAACACAATCAGAAAGATCACTGAAAAGCTTACATGCTTTTGTTTTTGAAGTGATTTAACAAAGTAACATCATCTTCTTTAAAACCAGAAACAGCAGAGATGTTTGAAAAGTACATTTATGTTTCAAATTGCAGTTTTGATTTAAAAACTCTTCATCTTTTAGCCCTAATCAAGGGTATTAATAGGGAGTTTACCCCCTCCCATCTTCTTCATCAGGGAAGGCTACTAGGTGTTGGAACATTGTTGTGAGGATTTGATTGAGCATTCGTGAGATCTGCCAGTTTCCCAAACATGGATTAATCCAAGTCTTGGACCAAATTTCAGTATCAGTGGAGAATTATAATTAGAGGTTCTTTTTAGTTTGGTCTTAATCTGGTGTTGGAACATTGTTGTGAGGATTTAATTGCGCATTCGTGAGGTCAGGTACTGATGTTGGATGATCCGTTCCAGATCCCAAATACTTTTGAGATTTTATAGCAAAATTAAATCTAAAATATAAACAGAGATTTTCATTCTTAATTTATTTTTCTTTTGACAACTACATTATTATTATTATTGTTATTATTATTATTATTATTATCTGCCGGTTTCCCCAGACATGGATTAAGCCTAGTCTTGGACCAAATTTCAGTATCAGTGGAGAATTACAATTAGAGATTCTTTTTAGTTTGGTCTTAAACTGGATGTGGAAAATCTGCTGTATGTATTAGAATCATAAAATTCTGCACACAGCACTGACAGTAGTAACCAAATACAGTACATATCCATATATTTATAACATAAACCGGAATTCTTGCATGACTTCCCAAGTAAATATACATAACGCCTTCATTTTCTTTTCAAAGTTAGTTTATCCAGAGCCGGTTTATGAGGAGTCTGGCCGCTTCCTATTTCCCCCCCGTTATATCCACAACAGGACTGCTAAACAGCAGAGGGCGCCCGCGAGTAAGTCCTAAATGAATGGGAGTGAATGGAGCTCAACAGCTAAAAACGAGAAGTTAAAATAGTTTCTAATCTCTCGCCCAGAACTTTCCTTTAATTTTAGAAAGTAGAAGGATGTATTTCACTGAAAAAGCAAAGAAAACTCACCTGTATGTTTCCTCTTTTCTACAGTAAACGGGTTTTGGGCAGCAGAAGGCGGGCTTTACTGCTACTGAGTGCTGATTGGTTAGCATTACTGCTAGAGCGTGATTGATTGGCGAGCGGAGCCGCTCATTGGCTGTTCGTGCTCACTGACGTCATGAACGTACATAAGGCGCCGTTTTAAACTCCTATAACTCGAGTTTAAAAGCTCTTAAAAATATAACAGCAGTGTTACTGTTTTATGCTGCTCTCTGTTCAGGAAATTAATGAATTCCTTTACATTAAAAATGTTTGAGCATTTATAAACTATGATTTTTCGCAAACGCCCCATATCAACCCATTCATTTTGGACTCGCTCGGGAGCGCCCTCTAGCGTCTGAAGACCCGGAAGGCATTGCAGAGTGGGAACTCTCCTCTCTGCAGGTTCTCTGGTTTATCCTAAATGGCCGCTCAAGGTCGGAACTTTAGCATCTTCTGTTTGTTTCCGAACGTGCAGTTTATGCGGCGGAGCGCGATGGCAGCTAGGAGGAGAGAGCTGAGTGTCAAAAACTGAAGCTTTTTCATTTTTAATAACTCGCTTATTTTTTTATTAGTTTTCGTGTTGTTGTGCATTATGGCCTTTTTATTTTCTCACGTTTACAATCCGTTATAGTTCTCAACGTTCCGTTTCTACGCTGTGTGAGTCCCACAGATGACCCTGTGTTCAAAAACTGTTAGGTTAGATTATTTATTTTTTTCTCACAAAATCTAGAATTTGCTCCGGTTTTTGAAGATTTCTGGTCAGCACAGTGCTTTAAAATTAATCTGCTATTTGTTTTACAGTTTTATTTTATTATTACAGTGCAGTGTGTGTTGTATATGGTTCTGTATGGCACCAGAAAGAGTTCTACTGTTACAGACTTGACACAGTAACAACAGCAGAACGCTTTTTGGTGCTATATAGAACCATTTTCATATACAACATATTCTCCAACGAGCCATTTAAACATGCAGGTGGGATTCTATAAAACTCATGGTTCTAAATAGAACCATTGCCTTTACTAAGGAACCCTTGAAAAACCATCTTCTTTAAGTGTGTACAAGTTCACTGGGTAACTCTCCTTTCAGACCTGGTTTTAATGGTTTTGATCCTCTGTAGATAAACCATAGAGGCCGGAGTGATGTCCAGGGTGATTCTCCAAACTCCAGTAGGAGTGTGTGGCCTCTTTCGGAGACGGCTGCTCAAGCCCGGCCCCCCTCATTCCTTCATCCTGAGCACCAGAACCATTTATGAAAGAGATTATAGGAGGCCAGGCCATTCTCCGGATACTCGGTGGCCCTGGGAGAAGATCCGCTTTGACCTTTCCAAGGGCCTGGAGGGGATACGAAAGCACTTTGGGCTGCTGAAAGATGAGTTTGTGGGTCAGTGGAAGGGGCCCGAGGGCCGGCCACTGATGGAGCACATGCTGGAGCAGACCCAGGTGCAGTGGGAGTTCCGCGGGCCAGAGTCTCTGGGACAGTGGGTGGTGTCTTCAGACCGAGAGATAGGGGGCCGGAGTGAAGCGTACCTGAAGCTGGGTAGGAATAACACAACCTGCATGCTGTACGGGACTCTGTGTTCAGTTCCACCTCGGGATGGAGAGACACGCTACAGTGGATACTGCACGCTGCGCTCCCAACAGCCTCTGGTTAGTAGTTGACCCTGGGCTGTAGGATGCACTGTTTCATACTAGGGGTGGGCGATATGGCAGTATATATGTATTGTGGTACTTGAAGAAATGTTGATGTTTTATTCATTGTTTTTTTTAATTGTTTTATTCATATCACGATAATTAATTTTTTCCTGATTTGAGAAATTGGAACAGATGCAGTGCACCAGTAGTGCTACATTTAAACCATACTATGAAAGAGTATAGTGATTTTTATTTGGTATTTCACATACTTTGCTGCACTAATCCAGTTAAACAGGAGTATTTATGCTCTCTTTTTAGTAAAACAAACAGTTGGTTAATGTCCAAGTACAACCAATATCAACAATGTGCTCAAAAAGTCTATTGTGATGTAATTTATCACAATAATAGTAAAATATTGTCATAGTGCCCATCCCTAATTCATACTAAAAGTCAGATACTAATCCAGTATTCTAAGTTCCTGTTTCCTAGACATGGATTAAGCCTAGTCCTGAACTGAATTACAATTTCAGTGATTTAGCATTGAAAAATAACTAAGTTAGATTTAGGTTTACTCTTTAGTAATCTTTACTAAGTTCATGGTAAAGTGATTTGGAATTAAACTCAAAATAAGTGGACTGAACTGGACTACTAGTGCAGTAATGAATGCAGTGCATGTAATGTTGATAACTGTCCTGTACGTCACAGCTCTCTCAAGTCATTAAGTTAAAGGGCCCATATCCTACATTCGTATTTTATTTTTCTCTGAGGTTCACGTATGACATGTGTTGGTTTACAGTACCGATAGCAGTCATAATTCATTTTTACATGGCCATTTTCTGACCTCTCTTTATCCCTTTGAATAAAACAGGCTGCTTTTATTATTGTGCCTTTCAAAAGTGATATATGTAAATGTCCTCAATTCTGATTTGGCTGCCCTGTGCTGTGCCTCATTCAGAAAGCAGCCCAAGCTGAAACACTCATTATAACATAAACATGATTGTTTGGAGCCTAACTGCTGTAGGCTGAGCAGGCACAATATAAGACCTTTAAGTGCTTAGAAACTACAGTAGATAAATATGAGCAGCAGGAAATATTATTTTGGTTTGTAACTTTGCTTGGATGCCCCTATCAGTCTTCGTTCAACAGGAAGAAGCACTTTGATTGGTCGAGCTTTAACACGTTGTTCCTGCGTATCCGTGGAGACGGGAGGCCCTGGATGATAAACATTTCAGCAGAGACCTTCTTCTCCCACCAGAGGGATGACATCTACAGCTACTTCCTGTACACGCGAGGGGGTCCATACTGGCAGGACGTCAAGGTTCGTGCTGCAAAAATGTCTGCAATACCTTTAAAGACAGAACATTACTTGTGTCTAGTAAACAGTGGTCAAATATTTATTTGTGCCCCATCTCAAAGGAATCGTTTGGTGGAAATTTCAGTTCATTTTTAAATACTGTGATCTATAAAAATGGACAAAAATGTGAAAATTCAAGTTTCAGGACGGCTGTTGCTACACTTATTAGCTATGTGACAAACTTTTGTCCATGTTTACCGATAACAGGTCATACAGTGTCAGAAACCACATAAGTAATATCATATAAACTACTTGAGTATTTATTTATTAATGCACTTTGAACAGTGCTTACTGGTGGGGTATACGCTTCCATTACTTGTTAGCCGTATTGGCCTCAAAGCTTCTGTGCAAAGAAAGAAAGAAACCAAATATGTTTTGCCAGATTGACTTCATTTGGGGTGAGGGGAGAGTTGTGTACATTTATTTTTGGGCCAGACTGTTAATTCAAGAGCATTTGTAAGGTATGAAAGCTAATTTCTGCTAAAGAAACCAGCCAGGCCTTCAGAATAAAGGCTGATCTTAATTCTAACGTACACACTTAAATGATGGTTCATGGGTTGTTTAGTAAAGAAAATGGTTTTATATAGATCCATGAACATTCAAAGAACCCTTTCCACGATTAAAGGTTTTTTCAGATTGATAGAGAATGTGCTGTAGATCAGGGGTTCTCAACCTTTTCCACCCCCAAGGCCCACCTGTGTATAACTACAAAGCATAGCGGGCCCCCAGGAAAACCAACAGCAACAAACACTACTTTATTTTTCTTTTCTTAAATGCTGACGCTGAAAACTTGAGAAGTAGGGCCTGAAAAAGATCAGATCGGCCATTCTGGTTGTCGGCAGTCTAGCTGTCTGCATTGCACGCCTGCGGCTGCGTTGTCTCAAACTGCTGATGTTTGATCAGCCTGCTACTGCAACGTGTTTATTTGCACACTTACGTTTTATGACTTACGGGGGTGTTAGGGGCCCACTACGAATTACTGCCTCCCCTGAGTACAGGCCGGCGGACCACTAGACAGTGCTTCAAGAGCCACAGGTTGAGAAAGCCTGCTATATATGGTTCTGAATAGACACTTTCCAAAAAGGTTCCATATAGAATCATATACTACACATTCTCCATCAGTCACCATACGAAGAACCATTAAAGCATACAAATGATTTTGTGTAGAACTCATAACCTGGAATTGAACCAGAAATGAACCGAATACCATTCGCCAAACAAAATGGGCTGTAAAATACTTTACAGACTGGCTGGAACAAAACAACATTAATACTGGTCTAGCAAAAACTGACAAAACTGAGCTACATCAATAAGGTAGGAGTGTCTAATAGAGTGGACAGTGAGTGGACACAGTGTTTAAAAACTCCAGCAGCACTGTTGTGTTTGATCCACTCGCACCAGCACAACGCACACTAACACACCACCACTACGTCAGTGTTACTGCAGGGCTGAGAATGATCCACCAGCCAAATAGTACCTGCTCTGTGGGGGTCCATGGGGGTCCTGACCACTGAAGAACAGGGTAAAAGGGGGCTAACAAAGTATGCCGAGAAAGAGATGGACTACAGTCTGTAACTGTAGAACTACAAAGTGCTCCTATATAGTAAGTGGAGCTGATAAAATGGACAATGAGCGTAGAAACAAGGAGGTGGACATAATGTTATGCCTGATCTGTGAAGCCGAAACTTGATATTGTGACAGTTTTATGGCTCAGTCTGATTTGGTCAGACTCTGAAGATCAGACTACACGTTTGGCGAATGGTATTGGGTTCATTTCTGGCTGATTCCAGGTTGGTTAGCTGTTCTTCTGTCACAGCTGCTGACTGAAAAGCTGCTCAGTGGTGATGACAGTTTGGGAATTTAGTGTAAGGAGCTGGAGAACGAACTGCCAGCTGAGCAGTGAGTGAGCGGAGTTCGTTACTCTGACGTAGCAACAAGCTGCTCGTTAACGAACTGCAAATATTAAAACATATTGAACGCCGCGTTCACGGCCAAGATCATTTCTTACTTAACTGTTGTATAAAAGCAATAGAACACTTGAGGTTGTGTGTTATCTTGAATAACAACACAGCTCTTATGTCATTTCGCGATAACACTCTCTCGTGTTGTTGCTTAAATATAGAACCATTTTCTTTACTAAAGAACGCTTGAAGAACCATCTTTGTGTCTATACCAATTAATTAATATATTTCAACAAAGTATGTCAGTTTTTCAAGAGAAATGAGATTCTTTTGAGAAAAATTAACCTTTCAACTAAGCTAAACTTTAACATAGCTAAATGGAAAAGTGGGGAAAATGATTGGCAGAAACAGGCTTTTGTAGTAAACGTAATAACCCTGTTTTGTTCTTTCACAGATCCCATTTTCTAAGTTCTTTCTGTCAAGTCGAGGAAGAATACAAGATGACCAGCATGCTCTCTGGTTGGACAAGGTGTGGCAAACTGTATTCATGTCAATTTGAGGACAAATAATTTAATAATAGTAATTTATAAATTCATAATAATTTTGGTCCTCTATGGTGAGTGTTGACATTTCTCCTTGTATGTGTAACTGTTTGGGTCTGTTTTCAGGTGAACACTATTGGCTTCACGCTGGGAGACAAAGCAGATGGCCCCTTTCAGTTGGAGATTGACTTCATTGCTCTGTGTAATGACCGTGCTCACACTGAGGAGTTTGCATACGAACTATACAAGAGGAACCCAGAAGCTTGAGTGGCAGAAGGTGGACTCTGTACAACAGACTTAAGTCCTAAACCTTCATTAGGGAAAAACTGTGAAATGAATTTAATGTTAATGCACACAAATCTGCAACTATTAGGGCATCCAGACTCAAACCCAAAACCCATGAACAACAATGTACAAAACCATTTACATGTTTAATAGCAAATAAAAGCAGATTTAAAAGGACAAGTTTTTTTTTCCTGACATCAGCTATCATTTATCCTTTGTATATACAAAAAAAAGAAAGAAAAAAAGGTGGTGTAATTTTTTTCCTTTGAAGAGAAGCAATTTATACAAAAGAGTATTAAACACTGACAACAGACAGACAAGCTAAAATCAGAATGTACACATAGCTAAAAGCACACTACCAAAAACTGAAGCATTAAGCCATAACCAAGCCACGTCTGGCACCAAGCATCTTTTCCTTCTTCTGCTTCCTGTCCTCCGTGTGCTTGATGCGCCGCTCATCTCTGCAGTAGAAAAGAGGGAAGAAAAAGATCATGACTCAATCAAAGCAGTGGCAAACACTGTCTCTAAACACTGGCACAGATGGCTCTAAAATTCATGCATGAATATTAGGGACGCACAACTGTAACTGGCAGATTTTTGCTCAAGACAATAAACTGGCTGACTGCCAGATGTGTTTTGATTTTGGCTGCTCCGTGTTGCAGTTATGAAGCCAGTGGCTTCTTACTTTATATAACATTTACTTTATTCATATTATTTAAATTAGCAACTAACTTTTCATCTTAGAAATTTTAAATTCCAGTTTGGCCCATTAAAATAGCAGCATATTCTGGACTTTTTTTCAAATTCAAATTTGAAAATACTGATTAAATTATATATTCACAATTGCATTTCCCATGTGTGTGTGCAATATTTAAGATAAATTCAAACTCAAATGCAAAATGTGTTTGCATTTCTGTGTATAATGACTGGAAAAAGTTTATAAGGAAAAGAAAAAGTCTGTTTGACATTTCATTGTCTCAACTGGTATTACTCCCACACATTATTCAGTTTTTAATCACCCATTTGTAATTGCATTTCCCCATTATTTATATTACTTATATGTATTGGCATCCCTGTTTGCAACTGCATTTTCATTGTCAATGAGGCTCTCCTGTCAATCGAATGCTGTGGACGGGACGTCAGGAAGGGTGACTGGGGGGGCAACCAGGGGGGGCAACCAGGCTGAGGATAATTCTGTCCAGAGTGATTGTGTTTTATGTGGAAGTGATTCTTGACTGACTTGGTAGAGTTTGTGGCTGCAGAATAACCAGAATTAGTGACATTGTGAGTTGAATTGTGTCTTACATAATGCACACTCACATGGGAAATGCAATTGTAAGTTTACAATTTAATTAGTATTTTCAAATTTCCATTTGAATTTGAAAAAAGTCTGAAGAAATACTGCTATTTATGTTGCGACTTTGGCTAATAGAAAGAACTGAAAATAAACGTGCTGGTCTATGTTCATTTAGTCCACAGTTTGAGCTTCAGGTTTAAACAGCTAACAGCAAAGCCCATCTAGTGTTTGTCAAGGAGGAAACAGTAAATCACTCACCTTGTCTGTACTTGCTGTTTGTAGTTCTTCTGGTGAGATGGAACTGTCTGGGACTTGTTCAGAGATGCATTTGCATCTTGCGTTGCACCAAAAGGCTTCAGCTTTCCTATTTAAATAAATGAAACATTCAGTCACAGTGAACACTAAAAACATGGACATCGCATTTAATTGAGGATACATTTCTGTATGGCAGAGATGCTGCTTTAAAGCCGCTAATGACAACAATAATATTTACTGAGTTTGAATCTATTATATGGCAATTAAAATGTTCCACAAATCTGAGATCCCCTACCTTTGTGAGGCTTGTAAGTGAGCGGCCGAGAGAGGCTGGCTTTCAAATCAAATGTATTCTTCTTGTTGGTCGCTGGAGTGGTCGAAGCACCACTGAAGACAAAAGGAGTCAATCCTAGTGGTGAAAAAAGAAAAAGGATTACATGGATCAGTTTTTTCCTCAAAATAAATGAGAAAAATCCTCACAGTTTGACTAATATTTATTTTCAGGTGGTGCTGGGCTAATATGCTGAAATATCTACATTTTATTAATTTTACTAGTGTTTGTTACCACCTACACGCTTTAAAAGATGGTTCTATATAGAACCATTTCACTGTTTTTTTTGCATGGTGAAATGGTTCTGCGGATTGATGGAGAATTTTTGAATATGGTTCTAATATAGTGGCAAAAAGGGTTCTGTTATGTTGTCAAGCGTGTAACAACTGAAGAACCCTTTTGGGTGCTATATAGAACCATTTTCAAAAAGGTTCTATATAACCATATACAACACATTCACCAATCTGAAGAACCACTTCACCGTGCAAAGAACCATTTGAGTATGAGATGGTTCTTCAGGAGTTCTTTAGTAAAGAGAGTAGTTCTGTTTAGAACAAGTTCTATATAGAACCATTTCATACTTAAACACTTTGTAATGCTAACCCAGGTGGATTTTCTTCATATTATAAATGTTTATATTTCTGTATCTGCATCCGAAGTTATGCACATGAAAAAAATCTGCACTGGCCCAAGTTTTCTGTAACAGTGCAACCAACTGTAAATGTTTTGGTCATTTGTAAGCAGTCAGTGTACATGTTCAATGGCTTTACTCTTAACAGATGGAGGTTTCTTACCTGGTGTTTTGTTTGTCTCCGGTTTGGTGAGGACCTCAGATTTCCTGCCAGGAGTGGGAGTGAGAGGAATCATGGGTGACATCCGAGCTGGAGTCTTCACCAAAGAACGCTTGTGCTCATTGTCCTGCGTCCCCTGCGTAAACCTATGAAGACCAACACAAACGGACCTTGAGTTTATCACTTAGATCACCACCACCAAATCTGGCAAAAAAAAAAACCCTAAATAAATAAATAAATAAAAGATTTTAAAAACAGATGCAATATATAAAACTCAGTGTTCAATCGTACTGCATGGCCTACCTCACATTGATCTTGTTAGTTGAAAGGACAGTAGGCCTGAAGGGGGCACTGTCCTTCACTGCAGACTTCTTGGCAAGTATCTGGGTGAACCTGTGTTTCTCTGCAGATGGCTTTCTTTCCTGCACACCTGGGCTGAACAGCGAGGCTCGGCTTACCAGCGGCTTCTGCTAATAAGCATATACTTTTGAGCTCAACGCTACTTTATCTATTTAAGAAAAAAAAGGATGTTTGGAGAAAGGCAACCGTTTACTTACAGCCCGAGTCTTTGCATCACCGGATTTCTTCACGTTTTCGGACTGAGCCTAAAATGACAAAAAAAAATCTTGAATTTACATACTCTCCCATATACCACCATGTTTATAAACAAATAAGTATCTAAAATTGTTAAAATCACAGAACAAAGCAACATACAGTCCAATCAGGAAAAAAGAGCTCCAGCTCTGATAAAATGTCCCCATTTAGGAACAGGAATAATCACCTTCAGCTCCTTAACAGTGTTTCTGAACGCTTCCATCTGCTTGTTCTTCCTCTGCACATACGAATCAATAGACTCCATCTTGTTGAAGTGCGCCTCATGGAGTTTTTTAAAGTCTAAAATAGAAAACACACGTTAAACATGTTCAAATGTAGGCAGGTAAACAATAACCATTGGAATACAATACATAACAGTCTATCCATAGATGCACTGAACACAGCTTGCCAAAATAACCTAGCAATTTTCTGTACCACCATTTTCCACACCATGAAGGACATATTCTGTTCTACAGAATATCTGCAATGCTCTAGGAGACTTAGCCTGCCTAAATAGTGTGAATGGATAATGAAACATGTCTTTACTAGGGAGTGGTGGGCCTGAGTGCTTTCTTCTTCAGCAGACCCTCATGACGAGGAATTTTGCCAGCAGTCTTCTTACCCACACCTGTAAAGAAGAAGTGGAAAAGAAGGTCAAATACTAAATAAATAAATCAATATATATATATATATAAAAATTCAAATAATGAGAATATCATAGCCACAGAAAGGCTGCTATCACTTCAGATACACCAATATGGGACTTGCAGGCCACCACCACTGCTAATACATAAACATTTTAAAAAATATAAAAAACTTTTTTGGACTAGAACCATCAGGATTAGCTTAATATGTAACTAATATTGCTTAGGATTACAGATGCAAATGAATAAATGAAATCCAAACATTTTAATGAAGTAGCCTGCATAAATATTCTGCCAACATTTGTATTCCAAGCAAATATCTGCTGATTCTGATCCATCTTGCATTCATATCCATACATCTTGCATACATGATCATGGTCAAGCAGCTACCTTTTCTATCCAAACACCAAAAAACCACCACAGTTTTTTAGCAACTTGTTTGCAGAAGTGAGACTGAAGATTGTACATCTGCCATCATTGAAGGTGTAAAGCTTGGTCCATGTTGTTAAATTCAGCAGATTTATGTTTAGACTGTGCTAGTCTTTCTAAACACATACCTTTAGCACTTTGCTCAGTGCTGGCATCAGATTCAGGTTGAGCCCCTGGCTGGTTCCCTTTGGGTTCCTCAGATGATGCTGGAGTTTCCGTGCCCTTGGCTGGGGACACCTTTCTCCTCTTCGAAACTCCTTCTGCCATCCTGTGCTTCATCAGGCATGGCACTGTCCTGAAAATTGTGGAAACACCTGATTTTCATCCCGTTTGGCTGAAAAGCTACCATCATGGATGCAGGACAGTGGAGAAGCAGTTACCTGAGCTGGGCTGTCTCCCAGTTTGGGATCATTATCTGTACACCCTTGGTCAGAATGCTTTCTCTTTGCGCCCTGAGCCTTCCCACGCCGCTTGGTCACGTGTGAAGGCTTGGCCTCATCCACTCCTGCAGGTGTCTGCACAACATCAGCGACAACACTATTTCCCTGAGGGATGCAATGCATTTGTAGGTGAGATACTGAAAACGTACAATAATATAAAAAAAAAAAACCCACAAAAACATCAAAAAGTGTACAGTGATATTAGTTTTAACTCACATTCTCTGAGCTCCCTTGTTGTTCAAAGTGCTCCTTCAGTGCCTTCAGCAACTTCTCAGCCTAAAAGCAAATACAAGTCCCATTAAACTGTGCTGTTAAAAAACCCAAAGGTTCAAAGAACCACGAGTTCTACAGAAGCACTACATGCTTAAATGGTTCTTTGCATGGGTAAACAGTTATTCAGATTGATGGAGGTGGTGTTGAATACGGCTCTACGTAGAACTTTTTTGAAAATGGTTCTATATAGCACCAAATATAGTTCTTTTATTGCATGCACACTTAAAAATGATTGTTCTTCAAGAACTCTTTACTAAAGAATCTGGCTCTACATGAACATTCAAAGAACCCTTTGCATGATTAAAGGTCTCTGCATCGTGGAAGAGTCCTTCAGATTGATGGAGCATGCGCTGTTGATGGTTCTATAACTACAAAGCTTATGTGAAGAGTTCTACATAGCACCAGAAAAGGTTCTTCTATTGTAGCTAACAAGCCTTAACGTTACATCATAACAATAGAAGAACCATTTTTTTGGTGTTATATAGAATTCAATACAAAAATGTTCTATATCGCTGTTGTCGGAAGAAATGGAAAAAACTTGCTTTACTTTTAATGTAAGTCAATGGAACCAGACATTTTTCCAAGTCATTTCGGGCCGTTTCTTTTGGTCCATTCATCATGAAATTTACACACAATGTAAAGAACAACAGTAATTTTCAAATTAGGTTAAAAACAGAAAAACGACAAAAATGGAGATGCAAGGTTTTCTTCTGACAGCAGCGATATAGAACCATCTAACGTTACAGCACATTTTCCATCAATCTGAAGAAACATTTCAGCATGCAAAGAACCCTTTAAGCATGCAAACGTTTCTATTTAGAACGCATGGCTCTAAACAAAACCATTAACAGTTACCTTAACTTACTTAACCCTTCAAGAACCATGTTTTAGCCATTTTTTTTAAGAGTGTGCATAAACGAACGAGTTTTAAAACATAAGCAGCATGACTGCACTTAAAAACCATCACGAAACGATTCTTTTGCACATTGTTTGTGAAGACAAGTCAGTCAGAAACGTCTTTAAGACAGAAGCGACCTAAAGCTGCGTTTATGGGCGAAGTCACAGAACGCTAAGCTAACGTTTTACCAGCGCTGCATAAATCTACTACACAACTTACCTTCATGTTGGCTTTCAAACCGACACTCTTGGCGAGCTGCCGCAGGTCGGCATACTTAAGAGAGTCTAAATCCATCGTTTAAGACCAAATAAACGTTTTAAAAACGCACAAGAGAACGAATAGACGTCGCCTGCCTGCGTCGCAGTTAATCACTCGGTTTGTTTGGGTCGGTTAACTGAAACAAGGCGCCCGCGTCGGTTGAAAATCACTTTTCAAAAATCGCCACCTCGTCGTTTGATTGGCTAAAAACGTTGGTGACGACACCAATTTGGTTGTTTTGATTGGTGCGTAAGCGAGTATGGGCGGGGTTTAAAACTGGAGGGTGTTGTGAGTGGATTTATACTCGTTCGGACTGTTGTGGGTGGCTGGTCTCGTCTTTAGCGTTAAAAATGTCGCACAGAAACCCGAAATTTCTGCAAAATGACCGCCACGAATACGACAGCACCCAAAGCAGTGTAGTTTTGGACCAGCTGAGAGTGGTGGAGGAGCGGAGAGAGGACACAATGGACTATGAGAAGTGCAGTGTTTTGCACTGCGCCAAATGCAGCGCGGTCCTGGCTGACTCGCTGGGAGTTTGTGGGGAGGCTAAGAATATCAAATCCATCATTTGCCTCAGTAAGTTTTTGGTTTGCAGTATGTAGGTTTAAGGGGAATTCCACCTATTTTTCCAAATTTCTAAATAATGCCGTCCTTGATATGTAAGCACAGTCATGTGAAATGGTTCACTGTAGACTCAGATGTCTTTACAGTGGTGGTGATAGGAACCAGGGGTCGCCACGACTACAACACCCAACACCACCAGTGAACCTACACGTGTCTTGAGTTTTTATATGGAATGTTTGTATTGATTAAATAGTCATAAGCCTGAAAAAATAAGTTTCCTTGGGGACTATTTTGCCTCACAACGCTCTGCATGTACTCCTCCGCCTTGAATGGATTAAAATGCATTTCATGTCAAAACTTTATCTCAAAACTATCATAAAACACTGTCAGGCAGTGAATTCATAACCGTTTCATGTAATAACTTTCTGTGAGGGAGCTTTTTAGAGGTGGACGTCTGGTTCCTATCACCACCACTGTGAACAATTCTGACTCTTAAGATTCTCTAGAACAGCACATTTCACAACAGACCACTCTGAATGACTCTGTTTACATCTTAATTATGTATTTTATTTTCGAAAAAAGTGGTGGAGTTTCCCTTTACTCTCAAAACGGCTGCAAATGTGATGTTAGCTTTCAACTCCAAAAAAGGCGTCTAAGACTGTGTTTTAAAGCCATCAATTTGTTTTTATTTTATCTTACAAGCTTTCAGCTCCATAACTCCCCTGTAAAACATACCTTTTTAAAAAGGGGAATTCCACCAATCTTACAAAATCTCTGTATAATTCAGTCATCAAGGTGTAAAGATTCAGAGTGGTTTGGTGTGAAATGGTTCAGATTTCTTTACAGTGGTGGTGATAGGAACCAGGGGTTGCCATGACTACAACACAAAATATAGACATTTTACTTACTATCCAAAACCACCACTGAACCTACACGAGTCTCAGTTTAAAGTTGATAATGGTGGAATAGCAGTTAATCTTAAATAGATACAAAATAATTGGAGATAATATTTAAAATATATATATATAATATTTAAAAAAAATACATTTTAGGCCAAAACCCCCTCAAAACTATCATGAAAACAATGTCTCAGACATCTGGCAGTATATTTTTAACCATTTGCTGTAAAAGCTGTCTCCAAGGGACCTTTTACAGGTTGACGTCTGGTTCCTATCACCACCACTATGAACAATTCTGACTCTAAGTTTCTCTTGAGTGAAGCTTTTCACTCCAAACCACTGTGAATGAATTTATGTCGAAATTTTGAAAAATCGGTGAAGTTCCCTTGTACCTAATGCTGTCCTAAATCTGTTCATGCAGAAGTCACTAAGGATGTGAGAGTGAGAGGGAAGTTTGAGGCGTGCGTATATGGTCTTCTGGCCTTTTGGTAAGTAGGATATGTCTAAGCCATCTCCATCAGCTGAACTGACTGAACTGTGCTTTTAAAAAATATCTTGCATAATTTTTATCTTTCCATATTTGTCGTCCAGCACGTACAAAATCCTCGAATGCAGTGTTTGTCGTCGCTGCATAGGTGTTGTTCTACATGCCACCCCACCACATTTATCCTCTTTGCGGAACCTCTTCCTCTTGCGGAAAGATGTGCTCAACTGGTAGGAACTTTTTTTTTTTTGCCCATATTTGGGCAATAACCAAAGACATTTTTGAATGCATTAATATCAGTCAGGAAAAAGATTTGTATTGGCTGTTTTTGTTCCATTTAGCTACATGTTGAAGAATTCCACAGTAGTGAAAGCTTCCAAAGTCAGTTTTGAAACCAGACCTTTGAGAAGAAATATCATTGAGGTAAGCGTATCTGGATCTTACCTGTTGAATGAATCAAGTGCCATCATTTTAATTAACTACATATTTGTCTAAAGAAAAAGTTGAGGGAGTTTGTCATCAGTTAACATTCTCAATTCCCCAAAAAGACCTGCTTTGTTAATGCATCTTGTTAGTTTATATATAATAATAACTGAGAAAATATGGATTTAAATATTAGAAATGATTCACCTAAACATGTTTGTCTTATTCAAAGTTCTGTGAAGAAGAGAGAAATATAATATTTTACTTTTTAACTAATTTAGTTCTGTTTGTAACTGTTGCAGTTGGTAAATATTAGTAAAATATTTTATTTATCTATTTATTTTAATCTTTATTTTTCCATTTTATGTATATATAAAAGTATTATATAAAATTATATTTTACTGTTATGTTCATATATTTTTACCCCTATTTTATCCTTTTTTATTGTTGTTTTTCTATTTCTTGCCATTATTATATTTTTATTGTTGTGTATTTCTTTAATAGTTTTAAATGTTTTTTTCTCCAATTATTTTATCTTTACTTCGAATCTTTATTTTAACAATCTTAATTTATGTGTTTTTATTCTTCCTGTGGCTCTCGGCTACATTGTAAATGAGGGCCCAACCCCTCAACGTAAACCCAAGCTTAAATAAAGAATGTAATAGTATACAGTAATTATTTACATTACTTTTTTTGTTGTTATCTGCTCTGAGATTTGATTTCCATACAATAAATAGTGGATATTAATTTCATTGGAACTTAAATTCCCAATGCCTATACAGTTTTATCAGTCATTGAATTATCTTTCACAGCTCTGTTCATCATTAAGGGCACATCTGACGTTTCTAGCATCCTTCTGATTATTTAAAACTTGTGAAGTTGAACAGGGCTCACATGTTAGAATCAGTTTATGCAACCTGATTGCTTTTGTATTGTTAAAAACATTGATCCCAAAACTTTTGAACACCAGTGTCTGTGCAAATTCCCCTCTCTAATACCTTTCTCTTTTCCATTCGGGTGATTCGTTCAGCTGAAACAGGACTTGGAAGCTCAGCTGAAGCAAGTGGACATCTTGAAGGAAATGCTGGAAGGAGTGAACGTTCCCAGAGTGAACAGGAGCATCCGGCCCAGTGCCAACAGTCTTCCTCTCTCCACTACAGTGCTGAGTAATGCTGCGGAGTAGTTGATGTTGGTAGAAGTGTAAATGGAAGTTGTTTGTCACTGTGCTTACTAGCGTCACGGAGTAGTTGATGCTGGTGATAAAGTGTAGCGCTGTTCTTTTAGTTGTTCGTCCATCTCAGAGTTTGAAAACTGGTTGTGAGAATTTTTTCTATTTCAAGTAATTAAGTTCTGTGAAAGTCTGCAATATATATTGTTACCGTTACAGTGTACAGTTATATGTCTAACAGAGAGCTTGATAGATGTAAAGATGTTCCGCTATCAAGGAAGAGTTTGTATGTCTATGTAAAAACAAATAAAGTTCATATATTTTCAGTTTGGCCCTTTTTGTGAAGCAATAGCTTCATAGCAGCTCATATAAGAAGCATTTTACATGATAAAGGGGAATTCCACCAAGTTTTGAAATTTCTGCATGATTAAATGTTTAAGATAACAGTAAACAAAGTCATTTGGAGTGGTTTGGTGTGAAATGCTCTGTTCTAGAGAAACTTAGTCAGAATTGTGCACAGTGGTGGTGATAGGAACCAGACGTCCACAGTGTTTAATGCTTCTAAAACGTACATCAAAGAAAGCTACATTACATGAAATCTTTAAGAACACTACAGAAGTCCAGAGAGACCAGCATGTAGTTATAATTTTCTGGATTGTTATTTTGAGATAATGAGTTAATTATCTTGTTATCTCAAGATAACAATCTAGAAAATTATAGCAACAGCTCATGGCCTCTCCAGACTTCCATAGAATACACTGCCTGATGTCAGACATTGTTTTTGGTAGAGGTATATTTGCAAGGTGTTATAAGGCAAAATAGTCCCCAGTGAAAAAATATTCCCAGACTTTCCACTATTTTATCAACATTTGCATAGAAGACGTGTAGGTTCACTGGTGGTTTTGGATAATAAATTAAATGTCTATATTTGTGTTGTAGTCATGGTGACCCCCGGTTCCTATCACCACCACTGTAAAGACATCTTAAGAGTCTCTACAATCAACCATTTTTTACCAAACCCTTTTGAATGACTATTTGCACCTCAATGACTGAATTATGCAGAGATTTTGAAAGATTGGTGGAATTCCCCTTTTTAAAAATTGGTTTTACAGGGGAATTATGGAGCTGAAAGCTTGTGAGATAAAAAAAAATACATCAATAAATTGACAGCTTCACACCAAACCCTCTCTGAATGAGTCTGTTTACACCTCAACAAATAAGTTTTGCCAAGATTTTGAAGAAATAAAAAACAAAAAAACAGTGGATTTTCCCCCTTTGCACTTTACTCCCCTTTCCCATATACCAAATGGATGATAGACCTTGCCAGTGAGGTTATGTGCAGTATAATCAGGCCATTTGATTTTCATTATGCTTACGCAAAACTCCTAGTTTATTATGTCAGACAAACAAAGCCCAGGCAGGTGTAGGATTGGCACCATGCTGTTTTTATTGCTAAATTTCTGATGCAGATTTTTTTTTTAATTGTACAAAATCAAAAAGAGGTTCATCTTAGCATGCTCAGCGCATCTGTAGTGCATAGATTTAACCAAACATACAGTTTTTCCATCCATTGGCAAACAATGCAAGTTACAGCAGGGTCAGAACATCTTATTATGCAATATTAAACTTTCAACAACTTCAGTTAACAATTTGTTGGGCCAGTCAAAACATAATTTGTAATATAAATCACAGCAGTCAGCTGACTGCAGTCGTAAATGATCTGCACACCCTGGATCTGGTCATTTTTTGACTGAAAAAAGTTAACATCCTCTACAGGGACTTTAAATATGCTAATTTTAGTGCACAATTTCTATTTATGTGCTTTATCCAACGTATTGGATTAAAAAATTATAATATGCGCCAGAACATTCGCACAGGCCACATTATGTTTTATGATTTTCCCCAATACATTGAATCCAGAAAATAAACAGTAATTGTGCATTAAATTTCCTCTGTAGAGGATGTTCACATATTTTCACTTAGGAAATCAACAAAACATCTTATTTGACCAGGACTGCTGAAACATTTGCATATGACTGTATCTCAATTTAGTAATTTGCCCACATTTTTTGTCAGGTCTCCAGTATTTCGCTACATTTATGTACGATTATAGTAAGCCTGTGTATTCACTCCATTCATTCTAATGCAGTTTTGTCCACTGTAATGTAGCATATGATCGTAACTCATTTCTCATTTCATTTCTTATCAGAGATCATACAGGTAACACATTTTGTCCATTTTGAATATTAAAAATTAAATTTTAAAAACTGTTAAAACCTGTTGCCATCTAAAATGTCAACGTTTACAATGGGATATTTGGATATAAAGGGTTTCAAATATATAGGGTCCAAATAATAAAGAGGAAAAAAAAAAAACTTTGGGACTGGACATCTGGTCAAAAAAAAAAAAAATCAAATCACGTCCACTCACTTGATGTTTTCACATTTTTGCATTATGTTTTTTTTCCCCAAGCAAAGCTTAATTATTGCATGCAGCACAACACATTTCTTACCCACTTCTACCATGCAGCAGCTATTTTTTCCTGCATTCCGATATAAAAACACCAATTAATACTAGGCTTACGATAACCATTGCACAATGATGTCCACTTAAGTTTGCTGTGATATCTGAAAGAACCGTCGGTACCTACAACTTGAAACTACCTACCAAGATACAGCTTGAGTGTCGTCACCAGCTAGCCAACACACTGCTCCTATTGCTTTCAGTTAACTGACTGCATATACAGTTTGTGTGCGTTATGATTACGGTTTCTGCCGCTGTGCCGGTTTTTAACAACATAAAACATGCAGTGCATATAGTTTAACATTGTTAACTATTTTCCCTCGCCACATTATTTTCCGTCCAAAATGCAAAGTTTAGGTACTACATTCACTAATGTTTTTTTTGGTTATAGTGACCGATGAAAGTAAATTGTTTGATCAGCTGCTAAAGACTGGCCTACTGTTGTGGGATATTTCAATATGTTCTACCAGTGGACATTAACAGTTGGGCCATGTAAAAGGCCTTAACAACCACCACAGCTACGAGTATGCTACAGTTTTCCATTCCACAAAACACCATTCTGGCACTATAATTCATGCATATAATAAGGTTATTGCTTCTAAATAGCTAATGTTAGATGTATTATGGCTTGCATATATGTAAGTGTAATCTAAAAATATATATTTTGCATTCCAGTCATTGAGGTATTTATCTACATTACAATATTTTGATTGTTAGGGCATGTTTTTTCCCCAAAATCTACACTAGAATTTGTGCTACCTTGAAGCTAACTAAGTAACTGTCCTCCTAAAGCTCAGAGGCATCCGCAACTACGTGTGAGACGGCACTAAATTAAAGAGAATTCTTTATTCGGTTCCTATTCTCCACGTTTGTGTTTAGTACTTTCACAATTGGACAAAATTACCACCTCCTAATTCGCATGTTGCTGATAGAACCATGAAGCACCTACTTATTTGATCATAAAAATCACTCAAGATGCACAAAACCTTGAGTTTGTCCTTCATTGACTTTGACTTTGCATTGGAAGGGTAAGGGTACGATTAGGGTGGGAGATGCTGGTTAGCTTTTTGACACAAAAACCCCTTACGTTAACACAAACTAGCAGAATTACGACGTTTATATCATGCATTCGCTATGTTCACGCTAGTAAAACCAACGGCTGCTTCTTTAGCCGGTCGACGATGATATTCCGGGTGAAATGAGTAACCAAAGAACACGTGACGAACAAAACGAATGGTCTTCCTCTAGGCCTCTCTTAGTTTTTGTGATTCCCTTAAAAGCTATCCAAAGTTCCTATGCGAGGAAAGGAAGCTCCATCCACAGCAGTAACTACCTATATCTGGTTAACTATGTTGCTAATATTAATTATAGTATATATACTGTATTTTTTACTACAACTACTTTATTCTGCAAGCATCATGTCCAGTCATGCATGGCCACATATAATGTTGGCACGACAAATCCCGCTACAGCAAAGTAAGCGGATGAATCTATACATCATTTAATGGAAGACATTGGTGATTTTGTTGTTTTTTTCACGAACAACTCGTCACTTGTTTGTACAATATACACATTTATCTCAAAACAGGACAAAAAAAAAAGGGGAAGGGCACGTGTATTGCACATATCCCACGTCCCTGGATGTCTTACCCAGGATCAGGTTCAAACTGGGGCGCCCAACTCACTCGTTCAGAAATCTTGCTGGTTTTTGTGCTACTAAAAATTTCGGGTGGAGCTAGGCAGGCACATGAGAGCACAAGGGGTTAAAATAAGGACCAGGTTAACAGTCCAAGTGGGGAAATTTACAAGTGCCTTGCAGAACTTTTCCATCCTCATATACAACTAGTGTGACTGATACCATCAAAATACATTATACGCTGTTACTATGATGTCCAACATGCATCGAATAATGAGATAGAAATCAATTCCTCTACTTATCCCGGTGGAAATGCCAAATCTCACGAAAAACAGGAACGTAAACACATGGATGACGGCTTTTACACCCACTAAACACAGTCCTTCCACAAGCTCCTATGATTATTACTAAAACCAACACCAGCATGTCCACACAAAGAAATACCACCAGCTTCACTAGGGTCCACTTTTCCTGTGTAGATCAACATAAGAATATTTTTTGGCCTCTTCCTCGGGTTTTCACCTCCTTTTAAACCATCAACATAACTCTACTAAGAATGCTACATTGCGTGCAGCTGAAGATATTAGCATAGTCGATGTACAGATGTATAAAATAAAGCTATTTGGCTTTTCTTATGTAACTCGATAAAGCATTCAGTTAACTCTGCCATGAAAATATATATACAAAAAAACAGAAGGGGTGGCTAAAGCTAAATAGAACAGCTACACACTTAAAAAGATGATTCTTCAAGGGTTCTTTAGTAAAAGCAACAGTTCTATTAAGAACCATGAGTTCTACACAGAATCATTTGCATGCTTTAATGGCTCTCTGCATGGTGAGTGATGGTATATGATTCTACATGGAAAACGGTTCCCTGTGGCACCAAAAGAGTTCTTTTGTTACAAGCTTTACATCATAACAGCAGCAGAACCCTTTTTGGTGCTATACAGAACCACATACAGCACATTCTCGATCAATCTAAAAAGAACCATTTGACCATGCAAAAGTCCACTCAAGCACGCAAGTAGCTCTACCTAGAATGCATGGTTCTAAATAGAACCACTGTCTTTAATGAGCTCTTGAAGAACCATCTTGTGTAGCTAGAACGAAGCGTGTAGCTAAGGAACAGCTATGCCAAACATGCTCACATGGCTAACAGTGAGTAGAAGCTAGTAGCTACCAATTCACACAGTCCATTGTTTAATGCTGCTCAGCGGGTGTTCGCCTTCATTCGTCTTGAGCAACATCAGCATTTCTGACTGAGCTATCTAAACTAAACAGTTTGGATGATCTAGAGAATTAATTCCACAATGTGGGCTACAGCTTTATACAGGTTAACAGTGAAAGATGGAGGGATGTGTGCAGCACTAAAAAACGGAAGCGGCAGCTTCAGGGAGAATCTACAAGAGCAGGCGAACGCATACTTACAAAAGTTATCTATTTTAAAACACTTTAGTGTTACTGTATGATGGAAAGTAATTTCTTTCATACAAACTGAAGTCTAACTTCAGGGCCACAAGCTGCAGATTCTCAATGTGAAATGTGCAAAATTCAACTGACTGGACACAGTTTGAAGAGCTATAATGGGGTACAATTGAAACATACAAGATCTGTACTAAGACCAGAGGAGTAAAAATGTTGGATGCTTTACATTTCACATGAGAACTTATTTGCAGCTGATTGTGTGATCCTCCCCATGAGAGCCGTGGATGAACGGACAAGAAATGGACTTCCAGACTTCACTGCTGATGCCGACCTCCATGACTCCTGGACTGTGAGGTGAAGCGCTATCCAGGAGTGAAGTGAAGCATACCTGAAGGAAGCCGGCACAGATTTAGAATGACTCACTTCGTATCCACACAAACATACAGGTCCCCTTTAATATAAACCCCAAATGGATTATTCCAGGGGTGTCAAACTCAGCCACTAAGAGGGCCATATTAAAAAATCTCAACAAATCTGTGGGCCAGCTGTGTTTTTATTTTATTTTTACTTAACATTTTGACCCCACCTGGCCACTGTTTATTCAAAATATGCCAAAACTACACCGGCAAGAGATAGGCACTGAATACGTGAACGATTCAAAAATAATTTTAAATAAAAACAAATTGTTTCATAAAAGAATAGACTACATTAGCTGCAGATCACTGTTAAACCTCTTTAAATGCCCCAGTGTACAGGAGGTTTTTTAAAACTGCCCATTCGCTTGAACTAGACGCCTGGCGCACAAATACACATACATATATATATATACACACACCCACATATACATACATTACATATATATATATATATATATATATAAAAAAAAACACACTTTTCTTTTTTGTGTTGCTGTCCCATAGATTGTTGTGGCGGAGGGGTGGGAGCACACATTACGCTGCAGTGCATACTGAGGACTGTAGTGCAGCTCATGGTGAAATAGGTTAATATTAATAGAAAATTAAAATTATTTTGTGGGCCAAACTGGATTGTGCCACAGGCCTGACTTGGCCCACGTGCCGTGTGTTTCACACATGGGAATCATTCCATGCCAGCTGCAGCTTTTACAGTTTACCACAGCAGGTTCTAAACTGCATCTTAAATGCTGATTTTAACTGCTTACAGAATGATTAACCTGAGATGAAATTTTAACAGCTGAAAGTAATTTAGAACCCGTCGTGGCAATCTTTCGAAAGGGAGAACACTACCTGGAGCATGCTGAGATGAACTAAATGGAAATTCATGATGGCATGGAATACCCTATTTAAACAAGAGTATGAAGCTTCATGTGTCCAGAGGTGTCTTCCAGTCCTTGACTGACAGATTCCAGCACAGTTCGGTGACTTCCCTGCCCAAACACACCCAATTCAACTCATCAGTACATTATTAGGTTTACTGGGTGTGTCTGGGCAGGGAATAATCACCAACTTTGCCAGACTCTGGCTCCTCAGGACCTGTGCCCATTATTTTAACTTGTTCGTTAAGACTCACCAGGTAATGGTCCCATTGTGGTCTTGTGCCAAAGCATGGTGAAACGGTTCCGTTAGCAGGACAGGACGTGCAACGGGTCTGCAGTGAAACAACACTTAGTTAATACTGCAAATTGGCCATTCTTTGTGACACAGGCTCATCACTGGCAATGATCATTTCTAAGTGCAAGCCACAGCTGTCATTTAGTCTATACGGATACAGCATACACTTCTAAAAAGGATGGCTCTTCAAGGGTTCTTTAGTAAAGAAAATGGTTCTATAATGACCATGAACATTCAAAGATCCCCTTTGCATGATTAAAGGGTTCTTTGCATCGTGAAAAGGTTCCTCAGATTGATGGAGAATGTGCTGTGGGTGGTTCTATTTAGAACCTTTTTGAAAAGGGTTCCTCTATTGTTACGATGTCAAGCCTGTAATAATAGAAGAACCCATTTGGTGCTATATACAGAACCCTTTTCAAAAGGATTCTATATAGAACCATATAAAACACATTTCCATCAATGTGAAGAATTAATTCACAATGCAAAGAACACTTTCTGAGTGTTCATGGTTCTACACAGAACCATTTCCTTTACTAAAGAGTCCTTGAGGAACCGCCTTTTTTAAAGTGTGCGGTTAGAACTGAGAGACGTGAACTAAGAATAAACTTACATCCTTTTCTAATGTACAGACAGGAAAAGTTTCAAATAATTAGCTATATAATGTATGGATATATAAATGTTTATTTTGTACTAAAAATACTTTTCCTTCTTATAACATCATGTACAAATATTCCTTCCTAAGCATTCCTAAATGCTTAGCTTCCTTATTTTTAATGCATGATCTTCTAAATACTCAAATACAAAATAAGAAACATGCTTTTCAGGTTCATGCCTAATAATAAAAAACAATGTTTTTCTAATATACTAAATAGACGGCAATGCAAACATGCAAATGCATATTTTTATCTAAAAAAAAAACTACACTATTACGCTACTCATATCTAATGTGTGCATCTATACATGCTCATCTGTAACTCATAAGTTCGTGCTTATTTGAAATAAAGGAAAGAAGGCGAGTTTTCTGGCTACTGAACGGAGCTGATGGTGCTGGAATGTGTGCTTCACTGGTAAACAAAGAGCAGGCAGGCTGTAGCTCGATTCTCGGGCAGAAACCCGTCGTACCGTGGACCCGTCGCCCTCCTCTCCTTCAACGGTGTGATCTTAGGACTCGTCCGCAGGCTCCTGTGTGTTTGTGCTGGTTGCGGGGGTCCGGGTTTTCCTCCGGTTTCGGCCCGGCCCGGCCCGCTGAGCTCAGCTACGCCATTTCACCCCTCTGCTAAACTCTCTATCCGGAATGACGTGCTCCTTCCAGAGCGCCGATTGGCCGGGAGACACGCCAATCAGTGCCCTGCACCCGCCCACCCGAGGGAAGACTGAAAGGGCTCCCTTTTCCCTAAGCCCTACTCCCTAACTAGTACACAACGCGGAGCCTGAAAACTGGATTTTACGCCCTAGGTAGGGCACTACGTGCTAAACAGACCTTTCAGTTGAGTTTATCTCATTTTCAATCACAAGAAATTAAGTAAAAATTCCCGTGAAATTCCTGTTGTCCCTGTTGTTTAAACTAGCATATCGCTGTTTGTCGGAAGAAAACCTTGTATCTCCATTTTTGACGTTTTTCAGTTTTTTACACAATTTGAAAATACCTGTCACCCTTTACACTGTATGCAAATTTCATGATGAATGGACTAAAAGAAATGACCCAAAATGACTAGGAAAAAAAGTCTGGTTCCATTGACTTACATTAAAAGTAGAGTAGGTTTTTTCCTTCTCCTGTAAAGTTACCATTTTGGAGATCGAGGTTTTCTTCCGACAACAGCGATACATTATTTGTCATGTCATGTAATTTTCCGTAGCGCAGTACTGCACCCCTCAGCCCCATCAGTTTGACAGAATTCATGATTTTGCATCCTTTTTTGCCCATCGATGTTCTCTCACTACAATACCCAGCATGCACTGCATAAATAAGTCACGCAAGCCTTGCTGTTGGTTTCTGCGACGTCACAGAAAGCATAGTTTCCATATATGGACTGTATGGACGGGGGAGTGAATGGTACGCTTTTAAACTGTGGATGTACAAAACGAAAATCTGTAATTGAGTGAGGAAGTGAGGAACATTCTGTTGTTCATTATATCGGCATTATAACCGTCTGTCTTTCTTCTGTATTACTCAGCTAATAAAAAATAAATAATCATAAAAAAAACATTTCAAACAACCCCCCTTAAATATCTGACTTAAAGCAGTTTTTTTTATTATTACAGTACAGATGTAAGAAGTACAATAAAGACATAATGATATTGATGACAGGACAACAGCAGCATAAAACACATTTAAAATTAACAGAAAAAAAACAGAGCTATGGGAGAATATTACACAGTACGCCTAGGATATCAGGGGAAGACTTAAAGGTGCAGTGTGTAAGATTTAAGGGGATCTATTAGCAGATATTGAACACAGTATACAAACCATGTTTTCATCAGTGTATAATCACCTGTAACTACGAACCACTGTGATTTTGTTAGCTTAGAATGAGCCCTTAGAATGAGCTCCAGAGAGCTTGTAGAGAGGAGAATTACCACTCTGGAATGTCTTCCGGGTTTCTCAAACACTAGAGGGCGCTCCCAAATGAGTCCAAAGTGAATGGGTTAAGATGGAGTATTTGAGCAAAATCATAGTTTATAAATGCTCAAGCATTTTTAATGTAAAAGGATACATTAATTTCCTGAACACGGAACAACAAAAAACATTTTAACACTGTTGTTATATTTTTAAGAGCTTTTAAACTCGAGTTATAGGAGTTTAAAACAGCACCTCATGTCTGTCTATGACGTCTGCAAGCGCGAACAGCCAATGAGCTGCTCCGCTCACCAACCAATCAGCACTCAGTAGCAGTAATGTTAGCGTCCTGCTGCCCGAAACTCGTTTACTGTAGAAAAAAGGAAACATACAGGTGAGTTTTCTTTGCTTTTTTACTGAAATACATCCCTCTACTTTCTAAAATTAAAGGAAAGTTCTGGGTGAGTGATTAGAAACTATTTTAACTTTTCATTTTTAGCCGTTGAGCTCCATTTACTCCCATTCTCGCTCGTGGGTGCCCTCTGCTGTTTATGAGTCCTGTTGTTGATATAACGGGGGAAATAGGAAGTGGCCAGACTCCTCATAAACTGGCTCTGGTGGCTCCTCTTCCAGGTGCTTGTTGTGCTACTATGTTTCTGCAAAAGCCCAGAACGGACAAACCAAACACTGGCTTTGGAGAGTGGCTTTTGCATTTTACGTTGAATTTTGGGCTCCTATAGCACCAGTTGGAAGATGTAGAAAGAAGAAGAATCAGTGGTTTCTGCCAGTGCTGGCTAAACATTTTGTATTGTGAGAAGTTTGATAACCCAAATTTTCACAAATTGAGGATCATACTTATTATTAAGCACACGAAAAATCAAGCATGGGTGAATCCCAGCTGCCAAAGAAGTGAAAAACTTGAAGAAAGAAAAATGAAATTGTGACAGGCGATGGCAGAAAACAAGGATAAACATTAGCGTATCCTTTCCCAGATGGAAATCGCTGACGAGGGACAAATGTTTTCAGAGTTACACCGAAGTTGCCTGTTTTCTGCTGGTTAAGTAATTTAGCGTACCACTCGCCTGACGGCCACTGTAGGTTCGGATAGGTTCTGCTACACTCTTGGAAAGGGAGGGATGAGGGAGGGGTATTCCGTTGGTTGCAGTCTGCAGCCTCCCCGCTAGATGCCACTAAGCATTACACACTGCTCCTTTAAAGCTGCTGTGGTTTTCCTCCCACCTTCACGATACGTCAACCAAAGGTAGTCTTTCAGCCACACACACCTCTGTTTTAGAACTGTTGAGGCACCACTGTGGAAGGCGAACAGACATGTTTACAACAGCTGGTTGAGTGTTTTCATTTCGGGCGGAGCGTCCCTTTAAGGAGCCCCGCCTCCCTCGTGCACGCGCTCCGTCCGCGCCCCCGTGTTCAGCATCCCGAGCAGCAGAATGAGCGAAGAATGCAGCTCTTGGACCTTCAGCTCCTGTTAACTCCTCACTAGAACAGGAGAGAGAGATCCTGTCGTGTTTATCAAAGGCTTATTTCGGGACTGAACCCTCCCTCTGAGCGCCGGTAAGCTTGTGCTGGTTTAAACCCGACTCTAGCGAATTCGCGTCTAAGTTAGGCCTCAGTCTTTCTGTGTGTACTGCATGCTTTCAGGACCAAAACCTTCTCGGCTCTGTTTATTGGGCAATATCAGGCATTTTATGTGCCTTTATGCCGTATATGATCCATAAAATCTGCAGTGCAGCGCTCAAGCTGTGCGTTCAGACTCGAAAACAACAAACGAGAAGTGTGCACTGGCTAGTTAGCTTAGCTTAGCTTGCTAACCAGGCTAACCATAACAACAGCACTTTCGCTCGCTGCTGGCTTTAATAAGCAGCCGAAATGTGGCCGCAGACACCATTAAAATAAGATATCCAGAATGTCTATGTCCAAAAATGTCACGGAGCTGAAGTCAGCTTCCTATTTGCCATCGATTTTTCCGTTCCACCTTAAATGGTGCAGCAGTTACGTTCTGTCTCCAGGCGCCAGAACGTAACTGCAGCACCATTTAAGGTGGAACGGGAAGATTCGAATAGGAAGCTGACTTCTTCAGCCTCGTGAAAATGTCATAGATCGCAGTGTAGTGCTTTGCTTTGTTGCCATCATTTAAAGAACAATTAGCTACCATGGTTACTGATCTAAGCTATATGTGTAGTGACTAATAATAACAATAGTAGTAATAATACTATAATAATAGTATTAATAATATTGTTAATAATAATGATAATAATAATGTTAATAATAACATTAATGACGGTTTTCATCTGTAGCTTGCAATACCCCTTCAAAAAAGGCCTAATTTTAAAGCTGGGAATGAAAAAGCATCAGCATAAATGCAAAGCATCACTAAAAACAGCGCTTGTATGCAAAGAGCAGGTGAAATCCAAGCGTAGCTGATTCATGCTGTTTATTCGAATGCGTGATGAATGGCTCTATTTGGCTAAATATCGCATTAAGTAAGGAAAAGTGTGTGTGTGTGTGTGGATATCTTTGAGGGTGTGTGCATTTGGAGAAGTGGGTGAGTGCAGGCCTTCTTAACCTCTTACTGAATGTGTTGGGCATAGTTTTTGGGTTTGTTTTGTAGTCAGGCATGCCCCTCAGACAGCAAATTAAGGATTATTATATTCCCTATTATTAACTGAAAGGGGAATTCCACCCCAAAAAAAATCGGTGATTAAATCAAGATGTAAACAAAGTCATTCGAGTGGTTTGGTGTTAAATGCTCTATTCTAGAGAAACATGCTGAGTCAGAATTGTTCACAGAGGTGGTGGTAGGAACCAGACATTGGAAGTTATTACTTGAAATAGTCACTAATATGCTGCCTTATGCTTGTGATGCTGATGATAGTTTTGAGAGGGTTTTGGCCTAATAATGCCTAATTTAATATCCATTTGTGGTGCAGGGGGACCTGCAGGGCACTGCAAACCAAAATAGGTCCCAAAGAAAACCTTTTTTTTTCCCCAGATTTTCCACTATTTAATAATCATCAGGGCTGTATATGTGCAGAGCCCCGCTGATGAAATCCTGTATAAATAAAAATAATGCAAGGCCACGACTTGGTAAGGCGTGGGAATGAGATCCTAACATGTGGCCGTGACTTAGTAAGGCATGATTTAGTTCCCAAGCCTTACTAAGTCGTGGCCATGACTTAATTTTCTCATTCCACGCATTAGGATCTCATTCCTAAGCGTTAATAAGGCGTGGCCACGCATTATTTTTATTTATATGGGATGCCACCAGCAGGGCTCAGTATAAATGTGTAGAACAATGTAGGTTTTTATTACTATGTAAAATGGCTATATTTGTGTTGTGAACATGGCGACCCCTGGATTTTATCACCACCACGGTAAAGAAAAGAGTCAGTAAGTTTCTCTACAATGAACCATTTCACATCAAAACACTCTGAATGAGTTTGTTAGTGATTTAATTATGCAGAAAGTTTTAAAAACGGGTCCAATTCCCCTTTAAAGCAGGTCATGGTGCATCTGCTGTGTGGTGATCGTTGCTTAAAACAGTCTTTGACAGCCACTCATGTTTGCCAGAGCACTCTATTTCAAAGGCTTTGCTTTGTCATTGGGGTGTCCCAAACTTGTGATCATCATCTCAGCCTGCGACAGTTAAATTTCTAACTTAAAGGTTCTTGAAAAGCTCCCATCGTAGTCCTAAATACAGCTTGATTAATTCTGTCACA